TCCTGACTGTGCACCCCAACCTCCCTGCCCTGGGAGTCACTGGCCCAGCTGCAACACTCAGCTCCCAGCCAGTTTCCACGCACATGGCAGCCCCAACCAACTAGCATCTCTGCTCTTGCTGGCGCAGGTCAACAAGCATGCGTTTTCTGGAGGGAGAGACACCATCGAGGAGCACAGGCAGTTTGGAGGCAACTGTGACGTGGACGTGTCCTTCATGTACCTGACCTTCTTCCTCGAGGATGATGACAAGCTTGAGCAGATCAGGAAGGTGAGCCCGCAGGCTGCAGGGTCCAGCTGGCCCCTGGCTCTCTCACGTGGGACATGAAGGGTTGTGGGAGCCCCTCAGGGCCTGGGCCTTTGGGGAGGTCCAGCTGCCTTCAGCCACGCGCCAGGAAGCCTCGGGACAGCTAGTTCACAAAGGAAAGCACAGACCGCAGTGCAGTGGCCACCCACAGCAGTCTCCCCTTGCTGGACACCATAGACAAGTACATCCAAACAAGACAGAATCAAAGCTAAAACAACTCCCCCACCTAGTGAGCGGGGCCTGTGTTGTTGTGGTGTCAGCAGGTGCTTCGAGGCTCACCCGGGTGAGGCAAGTGTCCTGGTGCTGCCTCTTGGCGTGCGGTTTGGGGGAGAAGTATGAAGAGCCCAAAGGATATCTGTAGCCTTTGCTTCGGGTTTTCCAGTCCTCAGAATCTTGCCCACGTAGCAGTCCTAAGAGAGAACTCTCCATAGGAACATGTTTAAAACTGATTACAGTGAAAAATTCAGATAAGACTGTACAGCACTGGGAGGCGGAGAAGCTGGCAGGGTGGGAGGGGGCAACCGGGCATCCGGTGTGGGGACAGCGTGGGCGGTCGGTGGGAGTCGTGGCCCCTCATCGGGCGGGGTCCTCGGCATTGTAAGAAAAGCAGAGTTTGAGGTGCAGTTTCTTGTACTTCTGAGGGCAGCCCTGCGCCAGGCTTCGCATGGGTGCCGCGGGCTGGGCTGGCGCCCGGAGGAGGTGAGGGGCCCAGGCGCGTGGGGCGGCTTGTCATCGTGGTCTGTCTCCGGGGCAGGATTACACCAGCGGCGACATGCTCACTGGTGAGCTCAAGAAGACGCTCATCGAGGTTCTGCAGCCCTTGATCGCCGAGCACCAAGCCAGGCGCAAGGAGGTCACCGACGAGATAGTGAAAGAGTTCATGACTCCCCGGGAGCTGTCCTACGACTTTCAGTAACGCTCCTTTTATATGTGCTTATAAAGAGATGTAATTTACCAGTAATTCCAGCCCAGTCAAATCAGCACGACCCGTAGGCTCTGTCACACGGTAATTACTGGCCTGGGGTCTGTAAGCCCTGTGTGCGTATCAGTACTGTTTCCTCCCGTGACGTCCTCCTTTCTGTCTCCTGTGGGCAAAACCTTTGGGGGTTTTGGGGTGATCGGGTGCCAGCTAACATTTTGTGGTCAGACAGTCCAGCTGGAGTCTCTCCCACAGAGCAGTCCCCACGTGTGGGGCCTCTGGGTCCCTGTCCCCTGGCCAGTCTGTGGGGTCCACAGGACAGCTCCTGCCGTTCCCCACGTTCTCTTCAAACCTGCTCTCTGGAAGAATATGGAGTCTGTATGTACCTGGAATCTAAACGGCATTATCGTAAATTAAAACACGTTTTGGAAAGTGTACGTGAGGGAGTATAACGGGCACAGATGTATTTCAGCCCGTGTCTAAAAAGATTTAAGAGAAGAATTGGCAGCTGATAGCTTTGTGATGTGTTTGGCTGAGAGCGCCCCCAGCTTGAAAACTGCTTTTCATGTGGAATATTGGCCCGAGTTGGCCGGACTTTGTTAAATTGAGCTTTCTGTGGGCAAGACTCCAGTTCACTTACCACACTCCACACCATGCATGTACCGCACTCCAGAAATCATGCTTCTCCCTGAATATACTAATACTTGGTTTCCACCAGATAATCCTCCACACTCCGCCCTGAAAGCCAGTGGCCACTTCACGCTGGTTGTACCAGATGCTCAGGGGTCTGTTGTCTTTGCAGATGCTTTTGTTTTGACACTTGACTGGCGAGGAAGTCTCTCTGCACAGAGCAGTGCCCTGGGGCAGGTGGATGTAGCTAGAAAGTGCGGCAGCCCTCAAAGCCCTGAGCGGCGCGTCCACGGGAGGCCTGGTTAATCGTGCGCCCTGTGGAGTTTGGAAAAGCAGAAGACCTATCTCAGGGAAGGCCCTTGGTTGAGGTGTCTGTGCTTTCTGGAGGTGCAGGGTCCACTCCCTCATGTCACTTGTTGGCGTGAATAAACTTCCTTCAGTCCTGCGTGTGTGGCCGTTCTCTGTTGGGGGTTCAAGGAGGGAGCAGGCCCCTGTGCTGCATCTGCTGCCGAGCGCTGTGGGCCATCCGAGGGCGGCCCTTGAGTCCTCCAGGCCACCTGGGAGTGATGTGTCTCAGTGAGCAGCTGTCCTCCGCAGACAAGGGCGCGGCCACGGGGTGGGCAGCGGCGGGGCTGGGTGGTGCGGGAGCCAGGCTGGGATCTGAGCTGAGCTGCCCGTCCAACCGAGGCCCTGCCGGGTTGGGCCCCACACTCCCTCTCCCTGCCCAGCCTCACTTGCCGGTGGGGAAACGGAGGCTCAAGAGAGGGCAGTGGGATTTGTCCAAGGCCACACTGTGTTTGTGACAGAGCAGGCCTGTCCTGCCTCTTGCTGTCTCCACACACACACGGACCATTTGACAAATGAGGGCACCGAGGGTCCCACTCTGGGAGGTGCTCAGGTACCAGTGTGTGGCACAGCCTCATCCGTCTCCTCCCCCACCTCCGCGCCCACTGACCAGAGCCCCAGTCTGGTTCACCTGGTGGCTGTGGCCCTCCTCAGCTAAAGGACATCCCATCACTCCCTGCCCCCATATCCCGGGTGCGCTGTGCAGATAAAACGAGGGGCCACATGGCAAGTCCCCAGGGCAGCAGGGCCACAGTGGCTGTTGGCATTGGGGCCACAACCCCTCACAGGCCAGCTCCTCCCACATAGGCTGTGTGACTTTGGGCAGGCCACCTAACCTCTGGGGACCCCCACCCCCTCCCTGGAGCAGAAGACTAATGATACCTCATGTTTCAGCCTTAGCAGCAGCAGCAAATCCCTGGCTCAGAGGTCAGGTGACTCACAGAATGGTCACTGCTGGGAAGGGCCACAGCCACTTCCAGTCCCCAGTTTGCTGAAAAACAGGATCTAGGGGATCCCCTAGAGATCCCCCAGGTTAGGACCGACCAGTGCAACAGCCCAGCAGGTGTTGGCAGGAGGTGTAGCGTGGGGACTCCTGCCAGAGGAGCTCCGACTGCCCGTGTGGGTGGGTCAGGCCCCCCACGCCCTGGTCCCCCAGGCTGTGGGGACAGCGGCTGAGCCGTGGCTGGGCACAAGGCACAGTGGGCACTGGGAGCACACTGCCAAGGACACACATCAGGACGCGAACAGAAGGGGGCTCCCGGCCATCAGACAAGTCCTGGGGACTTGTGCCCCTAGGCCCCTCCCAGAGGCCCATGATGCCCATTGTCTCCTGCTGGGAATTTCAGGTGCAGCCTGGACTTTGTTACCGCAGCCGCAGCCGGATTGATGGGAAGACCCAGCTGGGCCCGCCTTCTCTTCCCCATTTCTAAAGGAGGCCTGGGTCGGCTCTCCATTGGGCCTTGCCACCTGGAAGCTGTGGGGAGCATGAGGACGTGGGACGTGGGATGTCCTGCAAAGCCATTTGCTCACCGTGGGCGGGGCCAGCTGCTCAGTGACCGGGAGTCCCCACGCTCCCAGCTGTGCCCGCTGTGCCCGGCAGAGCCCAGAGCACTGCCCAGAACTCTCCTCCCAAGACTAAAGCAAACGGGCCCCCCGGTCTTCTTGCCAAAAGCGGATCTGGGGGTCAGGGTTTTGATGACCTAGCAACCTTTCGTTAGCACCTGGCTAGAACAGCATCTTTAACTTGTTAGCACCTGGCTAACTGTGTCTTAAACTTGCAACCGGATGAACTTTTAGGAATCTAGAGCAGGGCTTCATTGCACACCCCCTGAGCACCTACTATGTGCTAGGCCCTGTGCCGGAGAGTCCAAATCAGACCCGTGCTGCCCTCAGCTCACAGTCTTGGGTGGAGCGGGATGATGGGTGGCAGGCAGATGAGGGACACCACAAGGAGCCAGAGCCCCGTGGGAGCCTGAAAAGCAGCCTGTGGTCAAGCAGGGAGAGCTTCCTGAAGGAGGTGATGCCTGGGATGCGGAATCAGAGGAGGGAAGGGTGTTCCTGGCAGAGAGCTCTGGGTGTGAGCAAACGCTTGGGTCAGTGGGACAGAAGGGCCCACCCTGTGTCCTGGGAGAGAGTTGTGTTGAGCCAGAACTGGTCCCGCGGTCCAAAGACATGGCCAAGGCCAGCATCAGTGAGTATGATGGAGGCAGGTGTTGGCTGGCTTTGCCAGAGGGCTGTACCTGCCAGCCCTGGCCCCGATGTTCCCCCTCCCACCCCCCGTTACTGGAAGCCACGTGGTGCCACCAAGAGGACTTGGGAAGTGCGGCTGTGAGGCCCCCACCACCCCTGCCGCGGAGGGCAGGCCAGCCCCGTCTCTGAGCTGTTCGCTCACCTGGTGTCAGGCGGTTGTGATGACCTGCGCTAGGGACCGGCCCCCAGCAGTGCTCAGGACACACACCCCCTCCCGCCCCACTCCTGGCCCCTGTGGAGGTGGCTCACGGCCAAATGTCTGGGCAACCGAGGGGCCAGGAACTGGAACGGGCTGGAACCCAGTTTCACTCAGAAAGGGGTGGGTTTGGGATGGGGCTGCTGAGGAGAGCAAGCCTCACGCTAAAGACGGAGTGGCCTCCCATGGCAGGGCTCAGCGCCCCGAAGGCCCAGTGGGGGGAGCCAGCCCGAGTGCTGGGCCTCGGTGTGCCTGTCTGTGTAGTGGGGACATTGGCCACACAGGTCTGGAGGGCTTGGCCTCTAAGGATAAGCCGGCGGCCCGCCCCACAGAGCACAGAGCACCACTGAGCAGGCCCGAAGGTGGTTTATTGTCACAGCTCCCCGCTGAGTCTCTGGGACCCCCCATCAGGACAGGGTGCGTGAGCAGGCCCGGCGCCACGCTGGCCATGCGGGCCGGCCAGCGCCGTCTCTGAGCAGCCTGCTGCAGGGGAGCAAGCCGAGGAGAGCCGAGTGGGGGCCTCGCGGGGAGGGCGGCCAGTGGGCGCCGGCAGGGGTGACGAGGGAGCTGTGACTCCGACGGCATGCTCAAACCACTCCGAGCGACGGCCCACTCCTCCCTGGCTCCAGCGACCCTCAGGCCAACCCCAGGCTGGTGGCAGATGGGCCCCTCGACGTCCTCGGGGTGCGTAGCCGGGCAGGCGAAGCCCCGAGCACGGCTGATCTGGGTGTCCCGGCGGCTCAGTGGGGCCCAGACCCCAACACGCTCTGCGCCTCTGCCAGCACTACGACGTCTGGGAGCCGCTGGCGGGTTGGCGCCGGGGGCGTCGGGCTGGCTACGTGGACAGGCCCCGGATGAGCCTCAGCACGGCCTCGTAGGTGACGAAGACCACCATGTTGACGGGGAAGGCGCGGCAGCAGTTGAGCGTCAGCCCCTTGAAGAGGACTCGCGGCCCCTCCTCGCGGACGCTGGTCACCACGCAGTGCAGGAGGCCCCGGTAGCGCCGCTGGCCCTGCCCGTCCGCCTGCAGGCGCGACTTGATCACGTCCATGGGGGTGGCCACGGCCCAGGCCAGGACCCCGGCGCAGCCCCCGGCCAGCAGCACGCCCAAGACATCTGCGGGGGGGAGGGGGTGCCGAGCGCCTCAGCCGCCCGCCAGAGCGGGGTGGCCAGGGCAGGGCCTGCGTGACCCGCGCAGAGCTCCCCTCCCTGGGAGGCGCCGCGCCTGCTCTCCCGGCCCGATGCCCGCTGTGCCTGTCCCCCCTCTGCAGGCCCCGGGCCCCCACTCACCTGGCTGGCTGTGGCCAGCGGGGGTGAGCTGCTCGCAGAGGATGGTGTAGGACAGGAAGTAGGTGGCGAAAGAGTGGCCGTCCCGGAAGAGCAGGGCCGAGCTGCCCTTGTAGAGACCCCGCAGTCCCTCCTCACGGGCCACCGTGGCCAGGCAGTGCAGTGGCCCTCGGTACTTGGGCCCGGGCACCGAACCCGCAGGGGGCGCAGGACACATGGGGGGCGGGGCCGAGGGCCCCGAGGCCGAGGGGCGCCGCTGCTGTGTCTGCGTCTGCAGCCGGACCTTGGCCACCTCGGTGGGTGAGGTCAGGAACACCTGGAGCGGGAGTGGGGGGCACCTAAGGAGGCGCCCGCGGGCCGGGCCTCCCTTAGCCCCTCACTGCCCGCGGAACCCCCTGGGGGGCTCGGACCCCAAGAAGCTGCCGCTGGCCCGGCCGTCCCGGAGCAGCAGGGCTCAAGGCCAGTGCTCGCTGTTGCAGCACGCTCCGCGGGCACAGGGCGGCCTCCATACACGAGGGGAGTTGTGCAAACACGTGTGACTCAGGCGCGTGGGAGTGGTTATCACATAATTAATATGTGAATGTCACGCGTGTATTATGTAACGATGTAAGCTTTTAGTGTAAGAGTAACACAATACTAAATACTTAATAACGATAACATCGTCCTACGAATGTCACTCACAGCGCCGGCTGGGGGCCTGACACCGCTCACCCTCGGGATCGCCACCACGCCTCTTAACGGGCGAAGAGACCAGAAGCCCAGAGAGGCTCCCCAGCTTGCCCCAGGTCACGCAGCTGCCGAGAACCCACTGAGCCCTGACCCACAGCTCCCGGCCCTCACGCAGTCCGTGCGCTGCCCCAGCCTCCGTTTCCCCCTGTGCTGGGCTGGGGGCGCCTCTCGGCCTCTCCCAACCCTGCAGTCCTGAGGTCCCCCGCGCCCCCACCCTACTCACGCGGACCACACCAGAGGCAAATCCTGACAGCGTGATGTCGGTCTTGGCGGGCTTGGCGTCGGGGCTGCCGTAGCGAAATCGGCAGATGTGCGCGAGGCAGTGGCGGTAGGTGCCAAAGGACACGGACGAGATCAGGGACACGGTGCACACGGGCAGCGAGAGGCCTCGGTAGAAGCCCCGCAGCTGGCGGGCGGACACACAGGACCCGAGGGCCCGAGTCAGGAGGCCTGGCCGGGGAGAGGGCTGGGGCTGGGCCCTGCTCTGGCCTCCCTGGCCGGGGTCCTCGGGCCCGCCTCCGGCTGCCAAGGCTCTCAGCGTCCCCGGCTGTAAGCTGGGGATCCTAATACTCCACTTCCGAGGTTATGTGAGGGGATGAAGAGACAGAGGGCCAGGCTGGACCTGGGACGGCTATTTGATGAGGAGGAGGAGGAGGACGTTGGACAGCATGCTCTATTGTTGCTATTTTTGCATTTGTTCACCCCCCGACCAGCATCCCCCGGACCAGGCTCTGAACTGGGCACTGGGGACACCTAATGGCTCCACCCGGCACGGCTTTCAAGGGGTGCCCCTCCTCGAGGGGACAAACGCAAACGTCTGAGGTCCCTCCCTGACCATCAGAGACCCCAGAGGCCACCTGCAGGCCCTCCCCTGAAGGCGGGACCCCCTCTGTGCCGACGCCTGGCTCTCGTCCTCAGAGAAAGCAGCAGGCCATCCGGAAGATGACAGAGCTGAGCCTCCCCTGGGTGGTGGGCGGGCCTGGGGTCTGAGGCCCTGACCTCCTCCTGCCCATTACCCGGGGCCCAGGCCTACCCGCTCTCGGCGATACGTGTCCCACACGCAGTGCCCGATGCCCCTGTACTTGGGCTCTGTCTGGATCTTGACCTGTGAGAGAAGCAGGCTTCAGGCAGGGGTGGGTGCAGGAGACCTGGAGGGCAGCCTAGTCCCAGGGGCCTTCGGGCGGCCGGTGGAGGCCTGGCTGTTGCCGTACCTTCACCGTGTCCAGGGGGTAGCCCACAGCAACACCGCAGACACCTGGAAGGAGGTGCAGGGGGAGCAGGTGAGGAGGGAGGCAGGGCCGAACCGCAACCCGCTCCCGCTGGCAATCAGCCCACCCGTCTGTCCACACCATGTCTCATCAACCCTGTGCGCGTTGATGCAGAGAAGGAAACGGAGGCTCAGCCAAGCTTCTAGCAGTTTCTCCTGGGTCTTGGCTGGGGAAAGCCAGGGACGCTCCACGGCCTCAGCTCGGGGGCCACATTTTGGGAGAGCCTCTGCCCCGACACCTGCTGGGCCGTGTCTCCAGGCCGGGCAGCCTGTGATGGGCCTGCCGTCCAGCTGCGGGGGGTGTGTGGAGTTGAGGCACAGACCCAGCCAAGGCCAGGAGGTGGGAAAGCCCAGGTCACCCAGGGCTCTGGGAGGGACTGCCTGGAACCACAAGTCTGAGCGGAACAGAGTGGGATGTGAGGCTTCCCAGACCAGGGCCCTCTCCCTGCAAAGGGCCGGGTGCCACCATCCTGTTCTTTCTCCTTTCCTGACACCAGGGCCTCAGTGTCTGAGCCCCCGGCACTGCCATGGGGAGCCCAGAGAGCCACAGACCCCTGGGGTTACATACCCTGGGGGCCACCTGAGGGCCATAAGGCCCTTGGGGGCTCTGCCCTAATCACTAGGCATCCCGGGACTCGAGGAATGCACATGAATGAATGATCGAGTGCAGAGTGAGTGAACAAAGCAAATGAAGCAAAGGACCGACTGGATGACTTGGTTCGAATTCCCCTCCTTGACCCTCACACAGACCTCACCAAACTCCTACTCGTCCATCAGAGCCCCGCCACGCCATTGCCTCCTCTCTGGAGCCCTCCCTGACCCCTGCATCTGGGCTGCCTCTGTGCTGGATGTTGATCAGAGTCCCCGTCACGTGGTCTGGCTGCTGTCCCACGCGTGCCATGTCTGTCCTCCACAAGGACAAGCCCAGGTCTGACCTGGCCCGGAGCAGACACGGGACTCGAGAGCCCTTTGTGGCTCCGTGATCTTGGCCAAGTCAAGCCCCCTCTCTGAGCCTCCTCCTTGGGGGGCTGACATCCAGGGCGGCAGCTGGCCTGGGGCCTCAGCAGGGTGCCCGGTGAGGCCAGGGCTCCCGTGTGTCCGTGTGTCCTGGGTCAGCTCCGCCCCCCTGCCCCAGGGGGAGAGCACCCCACGCCATTCCTGGGAGTATCGACCAGCACCCACTGCTGTTTCACAAGACCTGCAAGGCCGAGGGGGCCTCACCCAAACAGGCTTCCCGGCTGTAGGATCGAGGGCCCGGTGCGGGGGAGCCCGGCCCCAGCCTGTTTCCCAGCAGGCCGGTTATCTCCCTGGACTCGCCTTTCGCAACCAGCGCTGCCCCCAGGAGGGACAACAGCTTGGGAGGCCAGCAGCCGGGACAGCGCAGCCAGCCACGGGTGGGGGGGCTCACAGTGCCTCCCCCTTCCCCAGCCCACCCCCTGCAGCCCGGGTTTCCGGCCCCAGGCCTGCTTGTCCTCACTGTCCACCCCGCCCGGGCCCTCCGTTCCGACCGCAGCTCAGCCACCCTTCCCCACATGGATGGCTGTGAGCCCCCCAACCCCCCCAGCCCCCCCGCCGTGGGCCCCCAGGCCCAGACGTCAGGCCCGTGCGGACCCCCTACCCCGTGCCCCCTCCCAGCACCTGCGGCCGCCGCACCAGGTCCTGACCACTTCCTGCGCCCCTTGAGCCCCCTGCCCTCGGGGCTACTGTCGGGGCCCAGGACACCCCAGCTCCCTGTCTGTTACCTCCGATGGCTCCAGCGACAAAATCCATGGACAGCGCAGGGGTGGGGGAGGCCCTGGGATCTGCCTGCCTGCCAGCAGTCGTGCCACCGCCGGGGTGGCCTCAACAGCAGCTCGTCAGCTCCCGGGCGACCTTAAATACCGGGGCCGGGGGAGGGACAGGACGCAGGAGCCCGCTGACCAGTGGCGTCGAAGGCAGAGGCCGTGCAGTCAATGCCCAAACCCAGGCACCGGGCAGCTGGACTCCCTCCCACCCCCCCACCCCCCCGACGACCCTTGTCCCAGTGCCCTTGGGACCCAGGTGTCAGGAAGTGTGTGAGAGGCCACAGGCTGGGTGTCCACACTGCCTGCGGGGCTGGGCCCCAGGCCCGGTCCAAACACCTCTGGGGACGTCCCCCGCCAGGCCCAGGCTCAGGCCTCTGTGGCGTCCTCAGGCCTCCTCTGGGTTCCTCCTGCCCGGGACCCCTCGAAGCTCCATCCTCATTCCCTCAACAAACACCATGTGAGCTGGGGGGAGCTGAGGCTGCAGTGAGGCGGCTAAGAGCCCGTCCTGTCCTCAGGGGGCTCCAGCCGGCGGGAGGGAGTGGGGACGAGCACGGGCAGCTTGCACGAGCCTCCCCTTGCGCCACGGAGTGCAAACACCGGTCACAGCCCAGCGTCTGCTCCATGCCCTTCCCGCTGCCCCAGTCCCACGGTCCCACGCCGTCCCTGTGCACCCCATCTGTCTGCTGCTCCCCGGGCCCCACCGGGCCTGTCTCTGCTCGGTCCCCAGCACCCAGCACTGACCAGGGCTCCCTGAACGAGGGGCCCACAGCTAGGGATCAGAAGCCAGGGCTGCTGACTGGCCTCTGACTAAGGCCAGGCCCTTCGGAAGGGGAAGGGGCCCCCACAAGAGGCAGCTTCCACCTGCTGGTTGCTTGCAACCCTCGTAAAAAATCAGTGACCCCTGGCAGCGCGCCCCATCTACAGTTTACCAAGCACTCCTCCTTCACCGGCTCCTGGGGTCCTCATCACAGCCCCTGGAGGGAAGCAGGGCTGAGGGTCCCCATTTTACAGATGGAGCCATGGAGACCAACAAAGGGGATGTGCCAAGGCCGTGCAAGTGGCAGGGCTGGATGGGATGGCTGGACACTCTGGAACAAGCAGTCCCTTTCTGATGCCAGGGGCCAGGCCCTGGTGCCTGTGAGCTTTGCCCCCATGGCCGTCACCCAGTGGGCCCTCCTAGGGGCTTCACACGTGCTCCCATATGACCCACATGGCAGTGCTGCGAGGTGGCCACGGGGACACTCAGGCTTAAGGAGGCTGTGCACCTGCCCAGGGTCACACAAACAAGGTCCTGCTGAGCAGAAAGCTGGCAGGACCAGCGAGGAGGGCCCGGTGTTGATGTCATTGGGCTCAGACAGCCTTGTCCCAGTGGCCCTCGGTCAGGGACCGTGTGTCTCCCTATTTTCTTGTCTTCTGCTGGGTAGACACAGGCCGACCTTGACCAGGCCGGGTGCTGATGGAGGGGCAGCCCCAGCCCCGCCGCCCAGCCACTGCAGGGTGAGGGGAGGACAAGTTGGCAGTGGCAGCCGCCACGCAGAGGGCAGAGGGCAGAGGGCAGGATGCAGCCCGCGCAGGGCCGATCCCGATGCCCAGCCTGGCCTTTAGAGAGACGCAGCTCAGCGTCTGCCTGCATTCAAGCCCCAGCGGCTCCGAGACCACAGCAGTAACCACAGACAGGAGTCCCTGCCCCGTGGTTCTTACGTTCTAGGGACAGGGACAGATCGCCAATAGGTGAGATGACAAGGGCGCAGGGGCTGCCGGACAGCAGTGAGCGCCAAGGACAGAGCAGAGGAGGGAGGAGACAAGGGGCATGTGGGGGTGGGGCCGGGCGGGCAAGGGGCTGCCCAGACGGTGACATACTAGACCAGCATGTTTTCCCCGGTCACCTGCCCGGTCACCGAAGCCAAGTATCGCCAGCCCTTTGTCTCCCAAACAAACATGCTCAGACTTCACCCTTCTCCGAAGCAGACACGGGAGACAGGCCACCCCACCCTTCGGGCTGTGGTTCGGGTCAGAAGTTCCCCACTCGGCTGTGAGCTTTGGGCGGGCAGGGCCGGGCCAGACCGCCCCTGAGCCCACAGCACCCAGCACGGGACGGCCACCCTGGGGAGGCTGGGGGAATAAAGCTGCGAGACAGCAAGTCGGGGAATGGGCGGGCAGGCGGGCGGATGGATGGACACGGGGGCAGATGAAAGATTGGATGAATGGGTGGATAGATGGATAGACGGAGGGAGTGAGGGATGGACGGACAGATGGGCCGAAGGTTGGGCAGGTGGATGGAGGGGGCGGAGGGGTGGGGGCGGATGGATTGACAGTCCACGATACAAATGAATGAACAGAGTCAGCGTGGGGTCACCTGCTCACACTTGGCTCCACCTGACACAGGTGGAACGAGGCCGCGGGGTGGCTGGGCAGGCAGGGGTCTCGGCCAGGGGAGAGCTCAGGAGGGATGCCCACAGCCTGGGTTCAGCTCTGGGCTGCGCCTCTCCCAGATGTGTGACCTCGGGCCGGTAGTGTCACCTCTCCGGGTCTTTTTTTTTTTTTTAAAAGATTTATTTTTATTTATTTATGATAGAGAGAGAGAGAGACAGGCAGCGGGAGAAGCAGGCCCCATGCAGGGAGCCCGACGCGGGACTCGATCCTGGGTCTCCAGGACCACACCCTGGGCCAAAGGCAGGCGTGAAACCGCTGCGCCACCCAGGGATCCCCACCTCTCCGGGTCTTGCATGGATGGCAGGAGGCAGGGCCCATGGGAAGCCTCCCGTGCCACTCCTCTCCATCAGCACCAAGGCCCGCTTCAGGCCCTCCTCCGCCACCGCCCGGCGGTCCTCAAGGAGGAGACTGACATCGCACAGGAAACCCAGCCCTGGGCTGCCGCAAAGGGCTCTGGGAACAGGGCGCGGCGCTGGCCCCACTGCACACACAGACTTGCCAGCCAAGGGGCTTGACACATCCCAAAATGAGTTTTGACATCTTATAAGAAAAGAATAACTCTAAGTTGTTTTTTTAAAAAATCTAGATGGAAGAGGGTTCCCTGGGTGGTGCAGCGGTTTGGCGCCTGCCCTTGGCCCAGGGTGCGATCCTGGAGACCCGGGATCGAATCCCACGTCGGGCTTCCGGTGCACGGAGCCTGCTTCTCCCTCTGCCTGTGTCTCTGCCTCTCTCTCTGTGACTATCATAAATAAAAAATTAAAAAAAAAATCTAGACGGAAGAGAGAGAGCACAGAAAGTGAAAGCCCCACAGGCCAGGTCTGGGTCCTGCTTTCTAGTCAAGGACAAGCAAACACCACATTTTCTATTTTGTTGCTTTTTTGGCTTGTTTTTTTGTTTGTCTTGTTTACACAGGGAGAGGGAGGGGGACACCGGGGTGGCTCAGAGACTGAGCATCTGCCTTCAGCTCAGGGTATGATCCTGGAGTCCCAGGATCGAGTCCTGCATCGGGCTCCCTGCATGGAGCCTGCTTCTCCCTCTGCCTGTGTCTCTGCCTCTCTCTCTCTCTCTGCGTCTCTCATGAATAAATAAATAAAATCTTTAAACAAACAAAAAAAAAAATAGAAAGGGGGGAGGGGCAAAGTGAGAGGGAGAGAGAGACTCTCAAGCAGGCTCCAGGCCCATCGCAGAGCTGGATCTCACAACCCTGAGATCATGACCTGAGCTGAAATCAAGAGTCAGACGCCCAACCAATGGAGCCACCCAGGAGCCCAAACATTTTCTTTTCTACTGTCATTCTGTGCTGTGCTTCTTTCCCTTACCGACATGTCTGGGACACTGTGCCCCCACAGCTCCTGGGAACTCCCTTCTGGTCATGTCCGTGGTCCCGCAGGTGTGGCCGAGCGTTTACCGGGGGACAGGGAGCTGAGCCAGGCTTGGCTCCGGCCCTGGCTGCCCTCGTGGTGTGACCCAGGGGAACTACCAGCCGGCCTAGGCCTCAGGTCCTGGTCTGCACAGCGGGAATCCTGTTACCCACGCCGACAGCTGGGGCCCCACGAGGGGGCCTGCGGAGCCCTCGGGGCCGTGCCCGGCAGGCAGTAGGAGCACATGTTACCATCATGATTTCACTCACAAGATCTGCCTTGGCTTGTTTCCACTTGATACCAGGGGGTGCTCCCACGGGCCTGCATTGGGGTCTCTGTTGTTTCCATGGGGCGCACTCTCAGGAGGGGGACTGCTGAGTCAAAGATACCCGGTCGATCTTTAATTTTCACCTGATTTGCCACTGGGGCAGGATGTGGAGAGGTCGAGGAAGGGCGGTGGGATTTCCGGGTGACAGAGATGGTCCAGGAGGCCAGAGCGGGCATGGGGGCCCAGGCTGGCTCCAGAGACCGGCAGCCCGGGCATTTCCAGAAAAAGGGGCTCCAGGGTCCGGAGAGCTGAAGTTCCCACCCAGCTCAGTCTGACCAGGAGGGAGTCACTGACCCCGAGTCAGTTTCTGCATCTATAAAACGGGACAAGTGAGAGTGTGCGCTCTGGGCGTGGATGTCCCTAACGCCCGGCTGGCTGCTGCAGACCACACGGCGCCAGGGTGGGGGTTGGGGGGGTGGGGGGGTGAGCTGCGGCAGACCCAGCAGAGGTGGGACTCGAGGGCGGGGCCTCACCAGCAGCCTCAGGCCTGACCCTGTTGAGGACCTGCCCCTGCCCCTACCCACACCCCCGCTGTGTCTTCGCTCTTGGGCACCCAAGCCATAGCCCAAGCCCTCCCTGGCCTGCTTCCTACAGCATCTCCCCCTGGCCACGTTTCCAGCCCCTGGTAACCCCTTCATGCCCAGGACTCAAACCTGGAATCCACTGGCTGGAAGGGCTGAGACAATTACCAGCTCTGGGCCTCAGGGGTCATATTTGGACAAGATGACCTCTACCCCACCCTGATCCAAGACACAGGGAGTTGGATTGAGCAACAGGAAGCTCTCTCCATATAAAGCAGGACTAAAGCCTGATGGTTTAGAGGAGGGAAGCTTATTGGCTTTTGTCAATCAATCAATCATTGCAGGGGGCCTGGTCTTGTGCTGGGCACTGGGATCCAGAAATGACCTAGAGACTCCCCTCACCCACCTGCAGGCCCAGCCTGGCTGGGGACTCGATACTATCTACTACTGCAGAACAAATGACCCCAAATTTAGCAGCATCAAATGGCCACATGATGTCCAAGTGTCAGCAATCTGGGAATAGTGTGGCTGGCAGGCTGTGGCTCAGGGTCTCCCCTGACGCTGCCATCAAGGTGTGGGGCTGGGCTGCACCATCTGAGGCCTGAGGGGGGCCAGGGTGGCTGGAGGCCTCGGTCCTCGACACAGGGGACCTCTCCATGGGACCACTCCTGACATGGCTCCCAAGGTCCCCCCCAGAGCTGGTGATCCAAGAGGGAGAGCAAGGGGGTGGCCACAACACCTTGGTGACTGTCTCACAAGTGACACATGGGCCTTCCCACTGTTTTCTATTTGCTGGAAGTGAATCACTCATTCCGGCCCACCCTCGGTGAGAGGGGAATTAGGAGGTGGAGGGTGTAGACGAATTAGTGGACGTGTCTTCAAGCCACCACAGCCAGCCGGGACTGGAAACAGCTGAGCGTGGCCAGTCTGTGTCCGCTGGGGCTTCGTGGAGGCTTCCAGCAAGGGGGCACAGCCGAGCTGCTCCGGAAGCAGGCAGGGGCTCACAGGGGCGCGGGTGAGGGGACGTTGCCAGCTGGGCCAGAGCACACGAGTGCCTGGGAAGCCCCCCGAGGCCAGGCTCACTGGGACGCCCCTGCTGCCGGACGGACGAAGATTCTCAGGAACACAGATGGGGTGAGAGAGGCCTGCCTGCCACCCTCCACCTGGCCCCCCCGGCCCCGTGAGGGGTACACCCCGGGGGGACGCCTGGCTCCCAGCCAGCCCCTCATGCTTCCCGCCAAGTGGCATAGAAGTCAGGCTCCCAAGGGGGCTGAGGACAGAGACTCCGAAGGACAGGACTGTCTCTCCGGAGGACAGAGCCCGATGCTGCAGGTGGGGGGGGAGAAGGGGACAGAGGAGGGACTGTCCACGGGCAGCTGCCCGGGAAGACGCTGCCTGGCTGGGCAGCCGTGACAGGAGGAGAAGCCGGGGGGAAGGAGGGACACAGAGGTCGCACAAGGCCCTCCCCGCTGCGAGAGGTTCTGGAACAGGGGGACTCCGGGCCCAGGACTCCTGCAGGACGGCAGGGCTCCGGGACGCCCGACGCCGAGGGTATCTGTTGCTTCCCGGCCTGTCCTGCACCTGCGCTCCCGGGGCCCGGCCTGCCGCGTCCGTGACCGGCCAACACGCCTGTGGGCTCAGAGCAGGTCATCCCGCCCCCTGCCGCCGCCTCCCGTGGTGCCAACTCCAGCTCACCCGCCACCCAGCCCAGCGCCCTCGTGGGGACACACTGCCCTCCTCCGGCCACTGCCCTCGGGTGCCTGCTCACACGGCCCTCTGGCCTGGGACAACGGTCTGCTCACCGGCCCCGGGACAGCGTGCCACCCCAGGGAGGCCAGCCCGGGCCAGCCCACGCAGTGCCGGGTCTGCACACCTGCTGGGCGCCTCCGGCCCTCTGTCCTGCGGGCGGCCCCTGCACCACCCCTCGGGCCTCCAGGCCCTTCAACACCCTCAGGCCTCCAGGCCCTCCAGCACCCTTGGGCCTCCAGGCCCCGGCACCCTCGGGCAGGCCCCTGCAGGCTCTATTTTTACACTTGAAGCATTTGCCGGGAGCCTATTTATATCGTTCCCATCTTGAGTTTCCGTCATCTCCTAACCTGGCCGAGCCTCCCTCCCTCTGGGCTCAGGTCTCTGGACCACTCCCAGGCCAAGGGCGGGGGGGTGCCCCGTGCAGGAGAAGCCCGCAGCTCACCGAGAGGCGCCCCAGGACACCGCCAATGTTCCCGATGCGCGATGGAGATGGTCCAGGGGCCCAGAGCGGGCATGAGGGCCCAGGCCGGCTCCAGAGTGGGCAGCCCAGGCATTTCCAGAAAATGGGGCTCCATTCAGGTGAGTCGCTTCAAGTCTCCCTAAGGAGAGAACTCGGAGCACCCTGCACTTGGGAGGACAGCGGCTGGCTGTCCCCAACAGGTCCCCGGCCCTTCGGCCTCTGTGGCCCAAAGTGGACTCACTTAGTTGGGGGCTGGACTGCACCAGAGGCCGGAGACATCCAGAGGGCAGCCACCGGTTCACGGGGACAGAGACCCGTCAGAGCCAGTTCCCGTGAGTGTGGGGCAGGGAGCCCCAGCTCGGTCCCCCTCCTGCCTGCCACAGTCCTCGCAGGCTGGAGACCTTGCCCTCCCCAGGTGGACAGCTGAAGATGCCTTTGGGAAACCCCTAATCTCACAGATGAATAAGGGGTCACTTTATTTTATTTTTTAAAAGATTTTGTTTATTCACTTGAGAGAGACCAGGCAAGAGCAGGAGCAGGGAGATGCGCAGAGGCAGAGGGAGAAGCACACTCGCTGCTGAGCAGGGAGCAGGACGTGGGACTCGATTCCAGGATCCCGAGATCATGACCTGAGCCCGAGGCAGACACTTAACCACTGAGTCACCCGTGTGCTCCTGAAGGGGTCACTTTATTTTTTTTTTTAAAGATTTTATTTATTTATTTATTTATTTATTTATTTATTTATTTATTTATTTATGAGAGACAACAGAGAGAGAGGCAGAAACACAGGCGGGGGAGAAGCAGGCTCCATTCGGGGAGCCCGACGTGGGACTTGATCCTCCAACCCGGGATCACACCCTGAGCAGAAGGCAGATGCCCAAGTGCTGAGCCACCCAGGCGTCCTGAAGGGGTCACTGTATTATTTTTTTTAATAAATATATATATATTTTTTAAAATTTTTCAAATACTTATTTATTTATTCATTCAGAGAGAGCGAGAGAGAGGCAGAGACACAGGCAGAGGGAGAAGCAGGCTCCATGCAAGGAGCCCGACGTGGGACTCGATCCTGGGTCTCCAGGATCAGGCCCTGGGCTGAAGGCAGGCACTAAACCACTGAGCACCCCGGGCTGAAGGGTCACTTTAAATGCAGGTTGTGAGCCCCTCTGTTCCCTGAGGCTGATTCCTAGTCCTGCAAACCTGTGTGTCAGCCACCGTCCTGGGAGGCTCTGATCCTGGAGGCCTATTGAGGGGAGCCTGTGGCTGGGGCCCCACTGCAGGCCAGGCCGGGACCCCGATCCCCGCTCAGCTGCCTGTTAACCCCCTGCCTGAGTTCCTGAGTTGGCACAGTGATGCTTGCTTTCTCTCTTTTTATTTTTCTTTTCTTTTATTTTTTTTTTAATTTTTTTTCCTTTTTTTCTTTTTAATGTAGGCTTCTGGGGCTCCTGGGTGGCTCAGTGGCTGAGTGTCTGCCTTTGGCTCAGGGTGTGATCCCGGGGTCCTGGGATCGAGTCCCACATCGGGGAGCCTGCTTCTCCCTCTGCCTGTGTCTCTGCCTCTCTCTGTGTCTCTAATGAATAGATAAATAAAATCTTTATAAAAATAAATAAACGTAGGCTTCTTGCTCAGCGTGGAGCCCAACGCAGGGCTTGAACTCACGACGCCAAATTAAGACCTGAGCTGAGATCAAGCATCGGATGCTTAACTGACTGACCCCCACAGGTGCCCTATGACTCTTGCTTTTGGGTCAAAACTGACAGGCAGGGGTGCAGGAGTCTGGCTCTGCAGACAGACAGACAGACAGACACACCCAGGAGAGGCATGTCCAGGAGAGGCATGTCCCCTTCCTGCATCTCCCTGGCTCCTTATCAGGGCAGACTGTAGCCCAGCAGGCCGAAACTTTGTTTCTGAAGCTTTTAATTCTAAAAATACGTTTTAGAAAAAACTACCACCCAGAACCGCCCCCCCCACCTCTTGTTCACAGAACACAAGTCCTTGGAGAAGCGTCAGGCTATCAGCCAGCGGGGCCTCCCACTCATTTCACCCCCCCACCCAGGGCCCATCACCTTTCATGGCTCTGGCCATGCAGCTTGCACATTTATTGAGCACCCACTGTGTGCCTGCCTTGCCTGACAGCGTTAATGGAGGAGGCAGAGAAGGTCCCTGCCCTGGTGGAGCTTCCATTCCAGCGGGAGAGAGGTGATAAATGCATAGAGGAACAAATAATGTCACTCTAGGAGCTGAAAGAGACCAGTGTGGGGAGGGGAGGCGGGCTGTCCACCGCAGACAGGGAAGGCCAGCCAAGCCCTGTGTGAGGAGGTGAACAAACGAACAGGGGCCCGAGTTCTGGAGGTGATCTGGGCAAGGGAAGAGCTTCCCAGGCAGGGGAAGCAGCTGGCGCAAAAGCACTGGGGTGAGGATGGGCTTGGGGTATGAGGTTGTGGTCAGATCCCCTTGGGCTTAGAAGCACCCAGGTTTTATTCCAAGTGAGCGGGGAGTCAGTTGGCAGCCCAGCCCAGCCCACCCCACGTCACCCGGGTCAAAACAGCCTCCTGTCTCTGGATTCAAGTGATTTCAGGGTGGGGAGAACAGAGGTGGTTTTCTTTTCCTCTTTTCCTGCTGGTGTTACTAATTCTTCCACACGGGACCTGCCTTGTGTAGGGAATTATAAAAGCTGTACAAAAGAAAAACTGGCACCACGGACTTTTCAGTGACCTGGCTTGACCCTTGGTCCCCTGTGACACTCCCTCCCCCACCTGCTGTCCTGCTACTGCTCTGGCTTCTAGTTCCTCCTACCCTATAAGGCTGGGGACCCAGGAGAGCCCTGCAGGGTGGCTTCCCCGGGGACAGGGGTGGGGCCTGCGGCTCTGCGGAACGTGAGGAGTTTGAGCAACCATATCCTGTGCTCTAATTTTATCCTCAGGAAACGAAACAGAAGAGACACAGAAACTGACAGCTGACGTCATAATGCAGCTCCAAAATATGGGCATCGCGTCCTCATCTACTTGGCCAGGACTTCCTCGTTTTCCCTTTCTGGTCTCTTCCGAACTGCCACCGGAGCCCCTGGAGGTCAGGGTTCATGCCACCTGCCCCAAGCATGGCATTAACTTCAAGGCACGTGCATTCGCCTAAAAAAAAAAAAATTAAATAAAAAATAATGTAAGGCAAGGCGCCTGGGTGGCACAGTCGGTTTAAGTGATTAAGCAAGCATCCCACTCTTGGTTTCGGCTCAGGTCATGATCCCAGAGTCATGCCCTGCATCGGGCTCCACACTCAGTGCAGAGTCAGAGCCTGCTTGAGATTCTTGCCCTCTCCTTCTGTCCCTCCCCCTGCTTGTGCTAACAAAATAAATAAATTCCTTCTCCACTGTTCTCAACTTTCTGATTTACTGCCCTGTTAAGGTACTCGACTTTCTTCTCAAACCCCCCAAACCAGGGGTAGATGCTGCAGGCATTTTGCTTTGCTCCCTGAGGCACTGGCTCCCAGGGAACAACTTGTTCCTAGGGGTGAGTCACCTGGATATAGTCTAATTGTCATGCTTGGGAGGCCTCCAGCTAGGGGAGTGCTCCCATAGCCAACTCCTGCCCGTTTTGGGTCTGGGCTTCTCCTGGGGCCTACATGCTATTGCTTTTCTGGTTCCTTGAGGTCAGAGGCTGGCGATATTCAAACCCAGGCCTCCAGACCCCTAGTTCAGGGCCCACCAGCCATCACGAGCACTGGACTAAGAGTCAGCAGTCCTGGGTTTGGGTCTCTGCTTAATGAATATTCTATCTAGAGTCTAAGAAGAATAAAAGGAAACCATACATTGCCATTGGACTCCTGGTGGCCTGTGTATCACCACCGGCCACTGCTTACATACACCTCATATCCCCTAGTACCAGAACAGAGTATTAAAACCTTGGAATCAGGGGCACCTGGGTGGCTCAGTCGGTTTAGCATCTGCCTTCGCCTCAGTCACGATCTCAGGCTCAGGGTCCTGAGATCCGATGGTGTGGGGCTCCCTGCTCAGCAGGGTGTCTGCTTCTCCCTCTCCCTTTAAATTTTTTAAATTTATTCATTCATGAGAGAGAGAGAGAGAGAGAGAGAGGCAGAGACACAGGCAGAGGGAGGAGCAGGCTCCATGCAGGGAGCCCGACTGGGACTCCGGCCCTGAGCCGAAGGCAGGCGCTCAACCGCTGAGCCACCCGGGCGCCCTTAATAAGTAAAAATCTTAAAACAAAAAGAAAAACAAAAGCCTTGGGTACGGATCCATTGTCATCCCCGTGCTGACTTCAGAACCGGTCCAATGAGAATAAACGAACTGTGTGATGTGCACCCCGGAAACCCTGCAGGGGGTGCGGTCCCGCGCGCAGGACCGGGAAGGAGAAGCTGGGCCCCGGCCTGAAGGGTGTCCCCTCGCAGCCAGGCCCGACCGCAGGTCCCCGCCCCGCTCCCCCCGGGGGGCCGCCGCCCGTCTCGGGCTCCCCCCGCCGCCTCGTCGCCCCGCTCGCCCGGTCCGCAGGCCTCCGCCGCCCTTGGCCCCGCGGCGCGCGGGCAGGTGCGGGACCCCGAGGGCGCCCCCCGGAGCGCCGGCTGCGGGGTGTCCCGGCCGGGGGCGTCCGAGCCCGCGTCCCCGCTGCACCGGCCGGGCCCGGGGCTGCGGCACGGTCGGGGCCTGGCGCCCGCCCCCGCTCGGCCGAGCCGTGGACCCGCGTCGCGCCCGCCCGGAGGTCGCTGCGCCGCACAGGCCGCCGCCAGGCCCCGGCCCCCCGGCCCCCGGCCCCCGGCCCCCGGGCCGCCGTCCCGCCGCCGCGCGCCCCCGGCCGCCTCTGCAGCCCGAGCGGCGCGGGCGGGCGCACGAAGCACACTCTTTGTCTGCGGCGCGGCCCGCCCGCCCGCCCCGCCCCGCCCCCCCGCCCGGGCACGCGGGCCAACGAGGCGCAGCGGCTGCGCGCAGAGCCCGGGGAGGGGGCCGCGCCTCGCCCGCCCATTGGCCGCGCTGCGCTCCCGCGGCCCCGCCCGCAGCCCCGGGGGCAGGCCGGGGGCGGGGCGCGCGGCCCGAGGTGAGGGACCGCGGCGGCGGCCGGGCCAGGGCGAGCGAGCCGGCCGGCGAGGGACGGCGGCCCAGGACCCGCGCGCCCGCCCGCCCCCGCCCGCCCCCGCCCCCACCCCCGGGCGCGCCCCCGAGGCCTCCAGGCCGAGCCCCGAGCCCGCGCGCCGGGGTCCCCCGACGGCGGCAGGGCCGGCGAGGGCCGCGAGCAGGAGGCGAGGAGGAAGCGGCCCCGCGGGGGCCCGGCCATGGCGCTCGACTTCCTGGCTGGATGCGCGGGGGGTAAGGATGCCGCGCGGCGGGGGCGCTCACCTGCGGGCGCCGGGCCCCCCCGGCCTGGCTCGGGGCGGCACGTGGGGGCGCGGGGGCGCACGGGGCCTGGCCAGGGCGGGGGTGCGGGGTGCGGGGGTGCGGGGTGCGCTCCGCCCCGCGCGCGCTCGCCGAGGCCGCATCGCCCGCACCTGCTCCGCATCCGCGGCGCCCGAGAACTTTGGGGCCGGCTCCCCGCTTGCCCCGCAGGTGCCGCGCGGGGCTGGGCTGGCAGGGCGCCCCCTCCCCCCCCAGCCGGCCGGCCCGACCTCGGGCGCCGAGTCACGCGTGGGCCCCGCGCGCCCTCCCGTGCGGATCCGGGAGCCGCTGCGGGCGCCCCCCCCCCCGGGACCGGGCGGGCCCCACACGCGGCGTGGGCTAGCCCTCGGGTCACGCGTGCGCGTCTCGCTGTGGGGCCGCCAGGGGCCCCCCCACCGAGGGGCAGAGATGCGGGTGCGTGACCCCAGGCCGGGTCCCGCCCTCGTGCCGGGCTTCTGTCCTCCGGCACCTGCCGTTGCCGTCGCTGTTGTCGCCGTTGCGCGGCTTGGGTTGGGCGCCGGGCGACCTGGAGGCCGAGGAGTGACTAGCAGTGGCCTCGGGCACTGGAGCCTCTGCGGTCGGGGCCGGAGGAGACGGTGGAGGGCGTGTGCCAGGGAGGCCATGTGTGTGAAGAGACTGAAGAACTTTCGCAGGCTGTTACCCAATCAGGCCTCAGGAAACCACCCCGCCGAGCTTGCCAAGGGGGTAAAACCTTAGGGCTTTTCATAAACGGGTGCCTTTCCCCTAAGCCCAGGCCGGAGGACACAGGAGGGGCGGCCTCTGCAGATCCAGCTCTCAGCTCCCCCACCCCGGGACCCCACCCGGCGCTTCGCTTCCTGTCTTCGCTTCCTGTCTCCCCCGTACCTGCCCGCATCCCTGCTGGCTCCTCCTGGTCTCCAGACCCTCCTCCTCCCTCCATGGTGGCTCAGTGAAGGTGGGCTGTCCCGTGGCCAAAGACCCTTTCCAACCCCTCGGGGAGTGGGAGTTCTTTCCCTGGAGGGGCAGGATTCCTTCCGACTTCTCCCAGGTGTCCTTGGAGCCCCCTGGGAGCTGTGGGGTTTGGGGGAGCGCTATTCATCCTAAGGCCAGGCCTGCTTAGGGACCCATCCCCCCAGGCACACGTGTTCGCTCTAGGCGCTTGCTCACAAAAGGCCCCTCCCCGAATGCCTTCTGCCCACCCTCCCCGGGCCCACCTAGGAGATCCCGGTCCAGGCTCCAGGATGGGGGCGAGATAAGGGTGCAGCCCACACCCAGCTCTAAGCCACAGCCCGGCCCCACTGCCTCACTCTCACCCAGGCACAAGCCTGGGGCTGCTGGTGCGCACCCACCTCCCTGCTGTGAGAGTGGAGGCCCGAGTCCCCAGGGGGATGAGGATGAAGATTCCTTGTGTCGGTCGTCAGCTCCCCTCCCCCTGGGATCCTCTCCTGCTCTTAAGTGAACCCAGGAGACACCTTGGCCTTGAGAAGTGGAGAGACAAGGGGGACAGTGGCCTGATGGCATGGCGCAGCCTTTGCAGGGGGACCGTCTAGGAATTGTGCGCAGGTAGCGCTCCCACCTCGACCCCTGACTGGTGACTTGAGCTCGGGCTCCTCCAGGCCTGGAGGCTCAGGGGAGGGTGACGGTGATGCTTCTCTGGGGGCCTGGGCATCCCTCCAGATTCGGGATCCTGGGGGGAGAACTGCGCATCACCTCTGATTGGCGGAGTGTCGGGTCACGTGTTCAGTGTCGCCCCCGGGGAGGAGGGCCAGGCACCTTGACCGACTGCGTCCAGGTGCTCACGTGGTGGGAAGGTCGGAATGCCGGCCGCACTCCCCGCCGGGGGTCAGGCCCATCAGGCCCAGTGCTCTGAATGGAGGGCTCCCTGGGGGCTGAGGGTGGCGGCGGGGAGAGGCCCCGCCGTGGACAGGAGGAGGTGTGGGGAGCTGCTCAAGGAGGGGCCGAGAACCCTGCCCAGGGGAGTGGTCCCCAACCCTACCCTGGAGTGCCATGGGGTGCGGGTGCCCCTAAGAATCCAGCTCGCATCAGGCACTGAGCACAGGCTTCGGGGGTTCGAGAGGGTCTGCTTGGGCTCCTTCCCTGGCCTGTTGGGGAGCTGGCCTGGCAGGGCTTCCTGGCTCTCAAGGGAACTGTGAGGTTAAAAGGATAAGACTTTGGGGACTGGAAGCCCTGACGAGGCAGGCCTCAAGGCCCACTCTGTTCCTGTGAATGGGGATGTCCTGGGTGAGCACTGAGCTCCTCCCCAGAGGCCTTGACAACGTGGGGATGCAGATGGCTGGCTGCCACTGGAGGCCTTGCTGGGCCTCCCAACCGGGGCTGGTGGGGGTCACCCCTCCAATCCGGGAGCTGACAAAGGCTGGGGCCAAAACCTGAGCAAGTCTGGCCCACACACACACCAAGAAGGGAGCCCCCACCATTTCCAGCATGTGCTCCTTGGGGACCCCACAACGGGGCCTGGCTGCAGAGGGCATGTGCGAGGCCCCGAGGGGCCCACAGCTGGAGAGAGAAGCAAGGCCAACCAGCATACCCGAGACAAGTATCAGCTTTCCAAAACGCCAGGAGATCAGTTACAGCCCAAGAAAATAAATGCTAGAACTCGGGTGTTCAAATTTAGAAAATTCATAACACGACAGGAAAAAGAAGGTGGATTGCAAAAGATAGAAACAAAGTGTGTCTCAAAAGACCAGAGACAAAGGCATGGAAGTCTTGAGGGAAAAGACGCCTTGGGCATGTCTTTTCGTCTTCCTGTGAATGATAGGGGTTCCAGAAGGATAGAAAGGTCTGGAGAGGATGATTAGGATGAATATGTAGTAGTGGAAATTTTCCCTGATCAGAAAAAGGCCTGAGTCTGGAAGTGAAAGCACTGCCGTGGTACCAGGCAGGGTTACTTTAAAAAAAAAAGAGAGAGAGAGAGAGAGAAAAGAAAGACACACCCTTGGCATCTCGATGACATTCCTGAAATCTACAGATAAAATCTCTGAGGCTTCCTGATAGAATGCATGAATTATTGACAAAGGAGAAGAAACACATTGGCAACGGATTTCTCAGCTGCAGCACCAGAAGCCAGAGATTCTGGGATACTGGCCTGGGCCTGAGAGCCTCCCCAGAGCACAGGACCCTTGTTCCCGTCAGTGTTAAAGAAATAGATTATGCAGAGGAGCAGGAATTCGGAGGCCATTTCCCTATATGTTACCTTCGAGAAAAAAAAAAATCCAGAAAAGCTCCAACAAAAGCAGTTGGTCAGAGTAGAGACCCCAAGAAGGGGCAGAGGCGAGGGGGAGAGGGAGCAGCTCTGAGTCCGTGGGGTCTTTGGGGGGTGAGCAGAAGCTGCAGGGGTGGGGACTTCTTGGGGTAGCTCTTACTGGGGTGGGGTAGGGCACTGGGGGGAGCAGAGAGCCTTGGGGGGGGTGTCGGTTCTTACCCTTTTTCTACATAATGATTCTAAGCGTTAGAAACAAGAAGTAACCCTTAGCTGAACTTACACGTTACCAAGCAGAAAGAGGACAAGTGGCAGTTTGCCTGAACCAACAAAAATGCAGAAAGGAAAAGGAGTAAAAGAATTCATTCACATAAAGTAAGATGGAGTCGTGTCACATGTCCCGACTTGGCAAAATCAGAGACAGCTTCAGAGGGGAGCAGAAAGCAAAGCGGAGCCGCAGCGTGTTTCCAGGAGCCCTGAAAACAAAGTAGTAGAACCACGTTGAAAGTTAAACGTCACTGGGGCGCCTGGGTGGCTCGGTCAGTTGAGCGGCTCAGGTCATGATCTTGGGGTCCCGGGATCTAGCCCCCACCCTGGGCTCACTGGGGACGCTGCTTCTCCCTCTGCCTCTGCTGCTCCCCCTGCTTGTGCTCTCTTCTCCCTTGGATAGGTAAAATCTTTTTTTTTTTTTAAGATTTTATTTATTTATTCATGAGAGACACACACACACAGAGAGAGAGAGAAGCAGAGACACAGGCAGAGGGAGCAGCAGGCTCCATGCAGGGAGCCCGACGTGGGACTTGATCCCGGGTCTCCAGGATCAGGCCCTGGGCTGAAGGTGGCGCTGGTTAAGGAGGAGGGTTCCAGGCCCAGAAGACCCGGGTTCGAATCCTTAGTCCACCACCATGGATATATTCTCTGGGCCTCCCATTCCTCATCTGTAAAAATGGGCTGATGGTCCTTTCGTTACATATCGGGAGGTAGAAACGTTACTGTTTGCCACTTAACAAATAGTAACTGTCTTCATTATGAACACTCCTGGCAGTAAAAAGAGAACTTTAAGGGATTCACACACAAAATGCTAGGGAGGAAAGTGGGGGAGTACGTGCATGGGTTACTCCACCTCCCCAGCCTCCCTTTTTCCCGCAAATGGGTAACAGGGTGCTGAATTCCCTGTGACATATGCACCTGAGTAGCACTCGGGACTCTGAAAAGTGTTTAGGAGCCAGTCTGGAGAGCGAGCCTTTGTCCTTGGGGGTGGGGTTGGGGTTTTGGCCTGGCTTGGACTGCTGCGCATTGTGCAGGATCACAAAGTCAGGAGCTGACCCCCCCCACCCACCCCCCCCCACCCCCGGGCTGCAGGTAGCTCCCCTGCAGGGAAGGGAGTGCTCAGCCAGCATCTGCAATATCTGGCTGCCTCAGGGCCTGGGTCAGCACCGCAGGGCAGTGGGGGGGGGGGATTGATGGTCACACCTAGTACAGGTGAGATCAGTGAGCCGCAGACCTCGAGTTCCTTGTGAGCTTGGCCAGCTGGTGAGTGGCGGAGGGAAAATTCAAATCTGGGTGACCCTCTGGCCCCGAGTTGTGGGGTCCCTGGGATGGAGGTGTTTGGTGGGGGGTGGAAGACAACTTCTGTCATCAGTCAAGTGTGGTGAGCAGCAGAGGGGGGAGAGACACCAACTTTGAGTTGGACAGATCCTGGCTTGATGTCAGGGACTGCTCGCACAGAGCCATGGACAAAGGAGCACACAGTAGGCACCTGGCACACAGTAGGTGTCCAATAAACATCTCTGTCCCTGTCCCGTCAGGTGACTACTGTGTGGTCCTCCTAGCTGAAACCCCCCCCCCCCCAGCTTTCTGAGTTTTCTAGGACATATGGGTGATGGCCTTCCTTTTTCCCTCCAGGTGTGGCAGGCGTGCTTGTGGGACACCCATTTGACACGGTCAAGGTGAGTCTCTTGTCACGGTTTTACTGTCAAGTGTTTGTGGAGGTGCAGACCTTGGACAGAGGCCCCTTTACAGGGACCTCACCTTAGGAATACCTGTAAGATCTCCCCCTGGGTTCTAGAATAAAGGTAGCCTCAGGTTCTCTGTGACACCTAGGCGGATGGCCGCGTGTCCACTTTCCTTCTGGGTCTGTCCCTACGTCTCCCAGGTCGGGGCACAACCCAGAGGGTCCATTGTGGTACCTGGCCCACTGAGACCGAGAGGCTGAAGGGCAGGCTTCCCCTTGCCCAGAGCAGGGTGGGGGGGCCCCGTTCTGATGCAGAAGCCCCCCTACACATCTTGAAAGAAAGAGCAGCTCAGAAAATACAGAAATCGAGCAAAACCAGAACTTGTCAGGACTTCCCATGAACATGGTCTTCACACAGTGGTGACCATCACTGGCTCGCATCAGTTCCCAGGGGCTGGTGTGCACCTGCATGGAGCGTGTGGCCCCGGGGGGGCAGGCACTCGGGTAGCCAGTTTAGCCCCGATAAAATCTTCAGATCCAGGTCCTCACAGGCTCAAAATGGAAACAAAGGAAATCCATGTTCTCCGGCTGGAAATTCCCAAGTAAGATTTTCTCCCCATTGTGTGGGGATTTTATGTCCTTAAACCAGCCAAGTCTGGACTTTCCCCCGTGGGCTTCACCTGGGAACTAGGACGCGCTCGGAGCAGCAGGGCGCGAGGCCAGGCCCGTGACCCACCGTAAACCCTGACCGTGCCCCTCTTGCAGCTGGAGCGAAGGGGGAGCGAGGGCAAGGATGTCATGCCCAGCTGGGTTAGAGGTCACTTCCAGTCCCCTCTTTTTTTTCAGTGAAAGCCAGGTGGCCCTTGGGCAAGGAAAGGACTCAGGACCTCAGGGCTGGGGTTTCCTCCAGCGCAGGCACCGGGGCCGGGCTTTATGCATTGGCTCTGACCGTAAGTTCTGGCAAGCTCCTGTGAAGGTGCAGGCCCCCTGCCAGCCGATCTGCTGTGTGCCCCTGGGCCATTGCTTTACCTCTGGGCCCCCTGTTCTCGTCTGCAAAATGAGGCGATGGGCCAGATTACAGAGGCCCTGGTGGCGCGGTGCTCAGTGGTAGAGTTTGGGTTGCATGAAATGCCACCCTGAAGGGCACAGACTGCCTTCCCTCCCATCGTATGCAATTCAGGGAGAAGGCAGGAGGACCGGTGGCCGCACAGCAGCCTGTGTCCCTGCACAGCCCGCCGAGGGCCTGTCCACACAGCTGCCGGCCCCCAGGCCAGAGCAGCCCAGGGCAGCCTGGCGCTGAACACGTTGTGCTGTGTTTATATCTGGTGGTCACATGTTGTAAATGCCCCTGTATCCGGCCAAGAAGTGACTCTGGCTTCGCTTCCTCAGCCTAGCTTTGCAGAGGCCACGCCTCTCTGAGCCATGACTCGGCCTGGGCATGGCCAGGTCCCCGTCAGCTAGCACCCCCATACCCCCCACCCCCAGGACCCCCTATTCAGTGCCCCCAGGCTGGGGACTACTCTGTCCTGGTGTCTCTGGCCCCCTCGTGAGCTCTTGGACCATGACCAGCGCCCCCAGCAGAGCAGTGATTTGGGTGCAGGAGCCTCTCCACCCCACAGGGCTTCTGCCCCTTGGACCCCCTCCTCTTGCTCCTGGAGGGTGACCTTTGAAGAAATCTATTGGTGAACTTTCTTTGGCCACCACTGCGGCCCCACCTGCATCACATCTGGGCAAACCTGTCTTTAAAAGCCAAGCTTCTTATGGGTAGGAAAAATGCCTCCCCCAGTAATCACCTCCGTCACTCAACTCGTGACCCCTCTTGTCCTACTTACGGGCTCACGCACTTTTCGTTGTGCTGATCAGGGAACGTGCTCTTTCGGTTTAATTTAATGCTGCGTCACCAATGGCCTTTTTTTTTTTTTTTAAACTGGCTCTTTCCCAGTGTAAAAGTTAAACAAGTCTCATTAGAAGAAAATTGGGAAATGTAGAAAAGCATATTATCTCATTAACTGACAAATCAGTTTTCCCATTCTGTACACTTCCTTCAGAATCCTCCCTATGCCATCATGCCTGCCATGGGTATGTATTATTTTTAATGCGTGTGTGTGTATTTTAAAGATTTTATTTATTTATTTGAGAGAGAAGTCCCAAGCGGTGGGGGGTGGGGGGGATAGAGGGAGAAGCAGACTCCCCGCTGAGCAGGGAGCCCGACACAGGACTCGATCCCAGAACCCCGGGACCATGACCCGAGCCAAAGGCAGAGGCTTAACCGACTTTTTAACCATTATAGAAACATATAAACTAAAAAGGAAGAAAAAGAGGTGTCTGGGTGGCTCAGTTGGTTAAGCACCTGCCTTCTGCTCAGGTCATGATCCTGCGGTCCTGAGTTCAAATCCTGCATGGGGCTTCCTGCTTAGCAGGGGAGCCTGCTCCTTCCTCTCCCTCTGCTTTATTCTGTCTTCTCTCTCAAATAAATAAATAAAATCTTTAATAAATAAATAAACAAGGAGGAAAAAAAACCCTATCCTCCATATGTCCCCTTCCCTAACCCTCATTAGTGATTTCTGCTGAAAACCAGAAATCTACACAGACCCATATATATTCCTCGCTTTTGGCAAAAGTGGGATTTACTTCAATAGCTCTGTTAGTGTTGTTTTAACTGAAATTTGCCACATGTAGAAAAGTGCACACACGCCCACTGTCGAGATCTCTGAATCCTCAGGAAGCTCACGCCTGGGGAGAGCAGAACAAGGTCAGCCCCTCCAGGAGCCCCCCGGTCCCCCTTCTACGTCACTGGACAGGACGGTCATCAGGGACATGGGGTCTCCACCCGCTGTCACCGGGGAGTGGCCATCCCAGGGCAGGGGAGGGGATGGGGGGTCGGGGGCTGGCCCTGGGGGCTCCGCGCCCCGATGCGATGTTGACATTTTGTGCTGCTTTAACCGCCTTTACTTTCTGAGCTAGGGGCTGTCTCCATCCATAGCAAAAGTGTAACTTTGTTGTAGATGAGCGTAAGCCTCACCCTGGAGAGCGCTAGTAAGTACAGACCAGGGGAACCCACCCTTCTCTGTCCTCTCTGAACCAGACCCTGGGCCGAACCGCACCCCGCCACACCCCTCCTCCTCCCACCCCACCCAGCGCCCTCCCTGACTAGCAGGGGGCAGGGAGGCCTCGAGGTGAGCTTGGGCCTGGCACATCCTGGGGCGGGGACGCAAGTGGGGCTGATGGAGAAAAATCAGCCCCCTCTGGATCAGAGGGTCCTCACGTTGGGGTCGCTCGTCCCCATGGAGAGCCAGGAGCCGTCTGGGCCTGTGTGCAAATGACCACTTTTCCAGGGGCAGGTTCGCCAATCCTCAACCGAGACGTTAACCTCAACTCTAGATTGGGCCCCACTTCACCCCCATACCTAGTCCCCCAAACTCCAGCCAGCGAGTGCTCATCCCTGGTCCAGGGGTCAGTAACAAAGGGGGAACGGGGCCTCTTCCCTGCTCCCTGTGGGGCCCAAGCTGGCACCAACCTGGACATGAGCACATCCCACCTGCAAAGACTTAGAGCCGCCCTCCAGGTGCCTGAAAATCCAACCCAAGCACCAGCCAGCTCTGTCTGCCTCCAGGGCCCAGGTGGTGTCAGTGCACGACAAAGAGCAATGTCCCACCAGAGACCCCAGAACACGAATGAAAAACCCCACATTAAAGTGCAGCAAGTGCTTTTGCTTTTCTCTGAAAATTCACCCCTCCCCGGCCAGGCCCTGCAGAGCCGGGCAGCCAGGGTGGGAAGGGGTGCCGGGGTGATCAGCTGCAGGGGGCTCTCGGTTGCCAGCCGCTTCTCCAAGCAGTGGCTGCCAACTGCAGAGGTCCTCGTGTGCAGAGATGGTCCTTTTTTTGTTCTTGAAAAACATACTCTTGGAAGTGCATGTGGCCGTCAAAGGTCCACTGGAGGGCTCTGGCCAGCCAGCACCCCACCCCACCCCACCCCACTCTGGCCCCGACCAACACAGCCGAGCCACTCACATTGCTGGAGAGGACACACAGCCTCAGCTGACTTGCAGGACATCTCTGAGCCTCAGTGTTCCCATCTTTGAAGTGGGGGTCACTATCCACCTCTGCTGGTCATTCCAGTCTTAGGCCCTCTTGTGCTGCCGGGCACAGAGGGGTGTTCACGCCATGGCCCTGGCGGTGGCAGTGATTTCTGAGTCAGCTCCTGAGAACATGACTTGTCCTAGCTCACCCTCCCACCCCCATGACCTGGATTCTGAGTTCAAGAAATGTGCTCTGGCTCCCTCCTGCGGGGCCTGCGTATCAAGCTCCGAGATAAGCTCCCGGTCAACAAAGAGTACTTTCACGTTGAGAGGTTCTGGGCTACGGGGCTCCAAGGGCAGCGGGGCTGGAGCTCCCAGGTCCTGGAGGCGGCGGGGACATGGTCACCAAGGAGGCTCTCCGCTGTTCTCCCGTCCCTGCTTTAACTCACGACCACTGTCCTCAGAGGGGGCTACTGGCGGAAATCAGGAGGCCCTCAGAGTCCGAGGCTCATTGCTTTTAACACCCGAGGGCACGGGCACCGTCAGCCCCTGAGGAGGGGAGTTGGGTGATGGGAATTCGGTGGGGAACCCCTTTGGCATCGGCCATGGTTTGCCACCAGGGCAGTGGGCAGGTCTGGGGAAACGCTTGTTGTCCCACCGTCTGCGCATCGTGCAGACATAATGCAACAAGAGGCTCAGCCTCCAGTTGCCTCCGGTTGCCTGAGATCTTGGGGACCCCGTACCCCTTATGCAGCTGGCTGTCTCTGTGGCTGTTTCCCCACTGGACACCCTCCCCCCTGAGCAAGCACGGACACCCGGCCCTGCCCGATCCTGGTAGCCATGGAAAGCTCCTGGGCTCCCCGCCTCCAGCAGGGTCCGGCCTTGGGCCTCCCCGAGAGCGCCTCCTCCGTGGGCTGTCCTGAGGGCTGGGTCAAGGGAGCTGGGAGCTGGGAGCTGTGGCCTGGCTTGCCCACCGCCCCGGACCCTGTCCTTCCAGGTGCGGCTGCAGGTGCAGAGCGCGGAGAAGCCTCAGTACCGGGGGACCCTGCACTGCTTCCAGTCCATCATCAAGCAGGAGAGCGTGAGTGGCGGGCCCCGCGGGGGGGTGGGGGGTGGGGTGGGGGTGGTGGCGGTGAGGCACGAGGTGCAGGTGGGAGGGGAGGTGCAGGTGGGAGGGGAGCGGGGAGGGGCGGCGGCCCGGGCTCCCCCCCCCCCCCCAGTCCCGCCCCGACCGTGTCCGTGCGCCCCGCAGGTGCTGGGCCTGTACAAGGGCCTGGGCTCGCCGCTCCTGGGGCTCACGTTCATCAACGCGCTGGTGTTCGGCGTGCAGGGCAACACCCTGCGGGCGCTGGGCCGCGACTCGCCGCTGAACCAGTTCGTGGCGGGCGCGGCGGCGGGCGCCATCCAGTGCGTCATCTGCTGCCCCATGGAGCTCGCCAAGACGCGGCTGCAGCTGCAGGACGCGGGCGCGGCGCGCGCCTACCGGGGCTCGCTGCACTGCCTGGCGCACATCTACCGGCGCGAGGGCCTGCGCGGCGTGAACCGGGGCATGGCCTCCACGCTGCTGCGCGAGACCCCCAGCTTCGGCGTCTACTTCTTGTCCTACGACGCGCTCACGCGCGCGCTCGGCTGCGAGCCCGGCGCCGCGCTGCTGGTGCCCAAGCTGCTGCTGGCGGGCGGCACGTCGGGCATCCTGTCCTGGCTGTCCACCTACCCCGTGGACGTGGTCAAGTCGCGGCTGCAGGCCGACGGGCTCCGCGGCGCCCCGCGCTACGGCGGCATCGCGGACTGCGCGCGCCAGAGCTACCGCGCCGAGGGCTGGCGCGTGTTCACGCGGGGGCTGGCCTCCACGCTGCTGCGCGCCTTCCCCGTCAACGCCGCCACCTTCGCCACCGTCACCGCCGTGCTCACCTACGCGCGCGGCCCCGACGGCGCCCCGGCCCCGGCGGCGGCGGCGGCGGCGGCGGCGGCGGCGGCGCGCGGCCTGGCCCAGCCCTCCAGCCTGTGACCCGGCCGGCCCAGCGGGGGACCCCCGACCCCGCTCCCCGCTCCCCGCACGCCTGAGCGCGCGGCGCCCCGAGACGGGGGGGGGGGGGGGGGCTCCGTGGACAGCGGCCGCGGATCCTCCTGCGCCTGGCGGAGCCGCGGGGCGCATCTCGGCCACCTGTTAGGTCTCCGTGTTAGGGAGCCTCCTGGTGCCCCGGACCGGATCCTCTGCCCACGCACCTGCTGCCGCCGCTCCCACCGGAGCGGGACCTGGGGGACCCTCGAAGAGGCTTGGGACCTCCAGGCAGCCCCGAGTTAGCCCAGGGGCCGGGCTGGGTGACCAGGCACAGGCCAGTGGGAGGGCGGCTTGTGGGGTGAGGAGGGCTTGTCACCCGCCACTCCTCAGGCCGCAAAATGGGGACATGGGTCAGCCACTGTGAGGAGCCAGGGTTCCCTAAGGTGTGCGGAGAAGTCAGCAAGGAGATGGGTACAGGGGGATCCCCTGTACGCCCCAGCAAATGATGTCTGTCCCCCGGAGGCTCCTCATGCTTGGTGTTCCCGTGAGGCCATGACGTGGGGCGGGTCGGGGGTTGCCTGATGGTGGACACAGGCGTGGCCTGCACTCCTGGGACTGAGCTGGGGGCAGCCCCGGCACAGCCATCCAGTACAGGGCGGCCGTGCATTTGCACAAGGAGGCAGATGGTTTTGCACATGGTGGAGGAGACTGTGGTCTCCTTTGCCCTGACTGGGGTTCAGCCTCTTGGGCAACGTGAAACGCTCTCCCAGGGGGTCAAGAAAGACCAGACTCCCTCTTCACGTGGTGTCACTGTTGCATAGAAACTGCTGAAGGAATAAAATATTCTCTGTTTTCTTAAGACTGAGGCCTGTTTGTGTACCACAGAGGAAGGGGCCCCATTCCCCACCCCTCCCCGGAGTCCAAGGGGCTGGCTTGGTAGTCTGTGCTCTTGGGCCCTGATGGCAGCCCGAGGTGCGTGCCCAGGGCGAGCTCCGGTGGACATGTAGACCTCTGTCGCCTCATCTGTAAAGTGGGGCTCACGGAGGCAGGAGGAGTAGGTGAGGCAGCCCACAAACATGCGGGACGGAGCGTCAGCCGTTCAACAAAGGTTCCTCAGACGTCTGGCTTCCCAGCAGGGAGAGGCCTGGGCTCTGCTCATCCTCCACCTGGGCAGGCCAGGCAGTGTGTGTTGCGAGCTCCAAGGGGTACTGAGCTGGGGTAAGGACACAGACGGGACACTCACGGACGCTAGAAACGGCCTCCCGGAGGAGGGGAGGTCACGTGGAGCTCTCAGAGGTGAGCGGGATTTTTCCATCTAAGATTAGACCTAACCCCAGCCTGAGAAGTCCTCGAGGGCTTCCTGGAGGAGGCCTCCTTGGCTAACGGGGTGTCTCTCACTGTCCACCCACTCTCACTTCTCACCTTCCTCGAGGCCGTCCTGGGCACCTGCAACTCCACACCTACCAGCCTGGAGTCTCTTTCCTTCCCAACTGAGCCAAAAAGCTCTGGCCCACGTCATGGGAGGGCAGGAGAGAGGGCCCCCGGCACTACCCCCAGGAAGGCCACCAGCTCTCCTGCACCTTTACCCCCCACGTAATTCCCTGCATCAGCCTGAGACATTGAGCTTGTCTGCAGAGGCTGGCTGGTGACCCCAGAGTGGGGTGTTCTCAGGCACAACACAGGCCCCTTGAACCCAGCGGTCCCCTCTCTGGGGTTCCAGGCAGCAGCTCTGGGTCTGGCCCCCGGCCCTTCACTTCTCTTTTCTCAGCAAATGCTGAAACCCGGGGCCCCCACTCCCACCCCAAGTGCTGACCCTGAAACATTACTAGTCAATCAGGTGGGAGGGATCGGGAGAGATGTGGGTATTTTTTTTATAAATTGGACATTTTATTTTCTCCTGGATTTGAATTTATATTTGTTTAGAATAAATAACATATAAATGTGCTTAAAAAAAAAAAAACTACAAATATATCCAAACATGGGTGGGCTGGAGGACGGAAACCTGGTCCCCACCTCCATGGCCCGGCGGTTCCTGGGGGGCCAGGCCGAGCGAGCACCAGCATGTGGGACCAAGCCCTCTCCCCACAGAGCCTGGTCCGGGCACCGACTGCTCTGTTCTGTGCCTTTCCTCACCTGACGGTGGCCTTGCAGGGGTTTCCCTGGGCCACCATACAGAACGTGACCCGCCATGTGGCCCAAACTGACATTTCTTCTCTTGAAATCCTGAGGCCGGAGTCTGGGATCCTTCGGCAGCAGGTGCTTCCCCGGAGAGCACCCTCCTGGGCCTCTCCCAGCACCTGCTGGTGGCCGGTGGCCCTCGGCTTGCAGGTAGCCCGCTCCAGTCTTCCCCTCCCATCTTCACGTGGCCGTCACCCCGGGCAGCTCCTGTCTTCTCTTTTTGCAAGGATGTCATCCTGGGCACGTGGGCCCAGCCTATTCCAGTCTGACCCCATTCTGACTTATAACATCTGCAAAGACCCTGCCTGTACCTGGGCTGAGGCCTTCAACCTAACTTTCGGGGACACAGTTCAACTCTGCAACAGAGACCGACCGCTCCCTTATTAGCGTGTCCAGTCGGCCACGTTTTTGTTAACGGTTGGTTGCATGGCATTGCACCAGATAAATGCTCCTTCCTTTACCCTGCGAGGCTCGGGACTCGGAGGGATCTCGAGTCCTAAGCAGCCCACGGGGCCACAGAGGGGACAGTGGGGCTGGAGCCGAGGGATCACAGGTAGCTGAGTCCCATGGCGGAGGGTGGAAGGGCCGCGTGGCTCCCCGCCAGGCCAAGTCGCATAGCAGTGCTGAGCCTCTGAGGTGCCTAATAGCCAACCTGCCCTTTTTCTTTTCAAATATTTTATTTATTTGAGAGCAAGTGAGAGAGAGCACAAGCCAGGGGAGAGGCAGAGGGAGAGGGAGAAGAGACTCCCCACCGAGCAGGACACCCGATGGGGGACTCGATCCCAGGACTCCAGGATCAAGACCTGAGCCAAAGGCAGATGCTTACCCGGCTGAGCCACCCAGGCGACCCAGCCATGCACTTTTCTAATAGAACCCAGCATGTTCTGGGCTCCAGCGTGTCTGGATGAAGATACGCTTCCAAAGAAAAAGAAAAAAAAAGAAAAAAAAGAAAATACGCTTCCGGACTCCCTTGCAGCTGGGGTGGCCACGTGTCCCAGACCTGGTCAGTGAGAAAAGCAGCGGCTGGAGCTCTTGGGAAAGGTTTGTAAAAGGGACAAGTGCACCATAGCACTTCCCGGGACTTGTGACCCCACGAAATGGGGATGGGATGCCTGCAGGGGCAGTGGAGGCAGAGGCAGCCCCGTGGCCTTGGGGGGCCCCCAAGCCAGCCAGGTCTGTTTCTTGGGTTCTCTGTTGTGCATCATGGCCACAGCCAGGAGTTGGCCAGTTTTACCCCCGGGGGAGTGAGAGGCTCGGATTCCTGCTTTAGAGACCCCGCAGGAGGCGGAAGGCGATGGGCCCACAGGTGTAGGAAGGAGGCCCGAGGGGGGTGTCTGAGCTAAAGTGCACGTCAAGGCTGGGAAGGAAGGGCTCCAGCAGCAGGTGGGGGCATGCAGGTGACAGATGAAGCCCCGCGGCAGTTCGAGGGAAACTGAGTCAATAAAACTCTCTTCCCCCGAGTTCTCCAGTGCTGGAGGCCAGCGTGGAGAGGAAGCGTTGGCCACCTCCTCCTGTGCGCACTCATGCCTTGATTACTCTTTTCCTTTGTCTCCCCTTGGGCCCCAGGTGCAAGGAGTGAATACCACGTCATCCTCCCTCCCCCTCCCCTCACTGGCCACTTGCACGGAGTCATTCAGCCACTCGTAAATCAGAGCACGTGGTTCCAGGGCACGCGGCCTTCTCCGCCACTCTGTAGCCAGTGGGTTCTGTGACGCGATGACAGCTCACACCCACCCGTGGTCTCCCAGCAGCCCTGTTTGCAGCGTTTGCAGCGCAGGCCAGTGGGGGAGAGCGCAGGGCTCACAGGGCCCCCACCCTGCCCCTGCCTCAGGCTCAGCCATGGATATGCTGGGCCCTCCTCCACCCCACAGCGGGAGTGTTACAAGAGCCAGGATCAGCCTGGGCTGGCCCCCTAGAGTCCTGGTGGTCCTGCACCAAGTTCTGTGGCTGCAGGTGACACACCCTGGAGTGACAGTTCAGGCAGCAGAGGGGCAGCAGGGCCAGGCCCTGGCCTGTGTGCTCCTTGGTCTCTGCTTCCTTTCTGCCGTGGCCTCCTACCCTGACCCCAGGGCAGCCACCTACCCTTGGGGGTGGGGGGTGGGGGGTGGGGTGTCCATTGTGTCCCAGGCTCACCAGAAAAGGGGCAGTGGCTGCTGGGCGCTCAGCCTGCAGGGACACTGGCTCCCACCCTGCCCTGGCCACCCTCCCAGGCCAGCTCACATCACATCCAGGCAGGTTTGGGGAGCAAAGTGGGCAACACTAATGTCTGGGTGTGTGTGTGGGCGGGGGGGAGGCCACCAGGACAGACTTCTTGGGAATTCTGGTTTGAATGTCCCCGTGGATGGTGAGAACATCCACTACAAGGGGGACACGGGACGGACGGACGGACGGGGGGGGGGGCACATGCTGGGCCACCGGGTGTGAAGTGTTGAGAGGGTGCGTGTGCTGGGGGTGCAGGAGGGCAGGGCGCCGGCGCAGGGCCTCGCTGGGTGGGCAGGTGCGGGGAAGCCAGGGTTTGGGGGACACGGCGGCCTTGAGGACGGATGTCGAGGGGCGGGTCCCGGGCGAGACCCCGGCAGGTGAGATCCCAGGGGGCGTGGTTGGTTGGGGGGAAGCTGCCGCCCCGACGTCTCGCGCACGCGCACCTGCCCCCTCCCGCCCCCCGCCCCGCGCGCCCGCGGCCCAGAGCAGCGCCCCCCGCGGCCGGAGGTGGAGCCGCACCCGCGGGCGGGGCGGGGCGGGGGCCTCCTGGTCCCGGTACACAAGCAGGTTTGCAGGGGATGGCGCGGGCCCCGCCGGGTCGCGGGCAGCAGCTGAGCTTCGGCCCCCCAGAGCCCGCCCCGCCGGCTGTCACGCGCCATCCGGCGGCACAATCCGCCCCGCCCCGCCCCGCCGACTAACGGAGGCGCGAACCTGGGGAGTCAAGGCCAGGGGAAGGCTGGGGGAGGGCAGGGCTGGGGGGGGAGCGACCGCAGGCTGCAGGGGTGCGGAGAGGTCGGCCCGGAGGCTGGCCCGGTGCAGTGGCCGCAGGAAGCCGCAGGGCCAGCTTCCAAGGCCGGCGGTGCACGGTCCTAGACTTGGGGACTAGGGTGGGGGCGGGCCTAGGGCCGCTCGGTAGGCAGGGACCCGGCTTCTTTGCAAGGGGTCGGAGGAGCCAGTGGCCCTCACCCCCTCACCGCTGCCGTGGGGTAGCTACGGAGCTCCTGCTCCAGGAGCAGTTTGGAGCACGTGAAACCCTGGTTCGCAACGCGGAGCATGGTCTTGGGCACAGTTGGTTCTCAAGACGCAGCCAGCTGGCGTCGGGGGCTCACAGAAAGCCACCCCGCAGCCCTCCAGGGCCTCAGTTCCTTCCCGTCTAAGATCTGAAGATGCACACACCATTGCTTTTACCTTGGCGACCCCTCAGCTCAGCCCTACCCCAGGTCTTTACTCAGCAGTTCTGGGCCTCACATGGGCCTAGGACCTGCCACCTCAGCAACATGGGGTCAGCAGCCCCTTCTGTCATTAGCGAAAAGGGAAAGTCACATGAATCAAGGAGAGTGAGAATAAACCTCCTGGCATAGTACATTAGACACCAGGGCCCCAGCAGGGCAGGGCGGGGCGGGGGGGGAGGCCAGACCCCTCTGCATTTTGCTTTTGGCCAAATCCTAACTGGCTCTCGGTAGAACTCATCCAGGTTTCAAGTCTATTATCCCCATTGGTACGTTCTTTTTGGCACCGAAGCTCCCAGAACGACCACTGGGGGTTGTGGGCCCCAACACATGAGCACTTCTTTTGGCTGTGCTTTCCAAAAAGTGGGTGAGGTCCTCATTAAAACTCTGGCCCGCTCGTCCACCGTGGAGCTGAGGGGTGAAGGAAGCATTTCTGACTGGTGTGAGTGGGGCCCTGCGAGTTTCCATTCCTGTGCTGGAAGGGAACCCACGAGGGGCCAGGATTCCGTGGCAGAGGCTTGGAGGACCGAGGGACAAACGAACGAATCACAGGCGTTAAAAAGCTTAACAACATTATGCGTTTATTATATTTTATAGAGCCATGTTACACATGCGTGGTGCTTCAAACGGAGTTATCGTTAAATGTTTTTCTGGATGCAAAGCCATCTGATGCTTGATGCGGATGCCTTAAATACTATAATATTTCTGCATCTATGACCTATGAGCTAAGGAAAAACCAAGGACGACAATTCCAGAAATGGCAAAGAACATTTAAGAAAAGATGTACATGAGACACAATGCTAAGTCCTTGAGTCAGGGCCTACAGAAGTTACCAGCAAGTGAATAAAAACAGAATTGTTCTATGAAAATGGCTTGACCAATCACCGTCCGTAGATAATAGAGCCTCGTTAACAGTTATGGATGTTGTAGAAAAAAGGTTATTGTGTTTGGTACTGATGCCCTTTCCCTGCCACGATGTATGCAGACATTGTGCGGCCCCCAGAGAGCAGCCAACAGACTGCAGCACAGCCACTGCCCCCGCCCCGCAACATCCCGATGCTGTTTCTTATGGCGTCTGAGTGTCTTGAAGGAAAAGCAATTTGATCAAACTTGCTGCTTTGTGGAAAATCAATCATTGCGACTCAGATGAACGTGATTACCACCACACTCCCCCTCTGCAGACTCCCAGAACGCTGGTCAGAAACTTGGGGAGCGGGGTGAGCAGCTTGCAGGAAGCTTGATTTGCCTGCTGACCTAAACTAATGCTCAGGTTCACGTTCAACATTCCCTTCCGGTTTTTCTAAGGGGAGCGGAGAAGTGTGTCAACAGTACGCCACGCACCCCTCCCACGGCCCCACTCGGCCCCAGCTTAAACATCCTCTCCAGCACCCTGCTGGCCTCTCTGACCTGGACAGGATGCCAGCAGCCTTCCAGCCGTGGATACCCCCCTACTTGTGGAGGGGCCCATCTCCTTCTAGAAGCCTGATGCCGCTTGCTCTAAAGGGCCTCACACCATCTTCATGCAACCAGGGAACCTGAGCGCACAACGTGAGCAGTGACCAAGTTGGCCAAGGCCAGTAAATGGAAGGTGCAGGAGACCTAGCCAGACATTCAGTGCTTCTGTGCAGGCTATGGTGTGCGTGACCGGGGCGGCAAGGAAGCAGAGCTTGGAGTTTGGGTGGCATGCACCTGCCAGGACCTGCTGAGCTTCCAAAGGGAACCAGGACAAAGGGCTACAAGGTTAGACAAGCGCCAGGGGTCTGAGGCCACCCCACGACAGGCAGGCCGGAACAGCTAGGAGGAAGCCTCAGGGCAGGGTCATGGCACGAGGGAGACGCCGGGTGAGCAGCCTCTGCTGCTCTCCCACTATACTGACCTCTGGGATCCTTGCTCTTGCTGGTGGTCAGATGTCCAGAAAACAGAAGGAACTTAAGGAATCAAAGATTAATCACATGGCTTTCCTAAGCTACGCTGATCCCAGGCCACAGAGGAGCCAGACACGGAGCCATCAATTCTCTCTGCCTGCAGTGCGAGGTGGAGTCCTGAGCTTCCCACTCAAACCCTTTGGGGGGGGGGGGGCAGGTGTGCCGGCGCCAGGGACATAGATAGAGGCGCGGTGCAACAGCTAGATTTCACTGGGCGGAGCGGGGGCAGCAGGAAGCCCCCCTACCGCACTGTGGCGGCTACTCAGGCAGACCGTGGGGTCTCTCTGGGTTCTTGCTGAATGGAAGGGACTGTCCTCTATCTGTGAAGAAACCGTCTAGAGCTCTGCTCAGACACACCGGCAGGCATCGAGATGCTATTCTGTCAAAAGGCCTTGCTTTAGTCAAATTCAGCAAAATAAGTGATGTTTAAAAGAAGTTGCACATGAACACCAAATGGGGGGGGGGGGATCTTGATTTTCCTCAAATCCTCAGGCCTTGAATCTAGGCACAGCACACAAACACCATATGAAACCAACAGCGTGAGTTCAATGTCACCTTGGAAAATAAATGTCACTCTGGGGTGACAGTTCTTTATACAAATATTATGCTTCCCCCGAGACCCCCACTACCAAAAAAGGGGGAAAATAATAAGAAATCCAAAAATAGAAAACAACATCTTGTTAAATGTAAACTTATCCTCTGGAACTTTTATATTACATATGCTAGAAACATGCATTTATTTCAGCTCGGATGTAAGAAAATATGTCTATCAGTATTACTTATAAATCAGGTTAATCCTCAAGACAAGGGACTCACTGTTAGAACGCCACTTCAAACTGCAGTAAAATTACATCTTTAGCAAAATTATAAATTCTAACCACAAGCACAACGGGTTTCGGTTACAGCCAATGAGGACAACGGCTATTTTTCCACTGCCGCTCACTGACGAACTTCCTACGTACACTACTGGGAATCGAGAGCGCCCCGCCAACCAGAAACCTGGGACATTCCATCGCCTTCCAACCCCCAATCAAATTCCTGTCAGAGATGAACTCTGAAGACCCGCAAGAGAAGACACATGGATAAAGGGCCCTGGGGAGCGATGGCTGTTCCCCGCAGAGACAGAAGGGGCACAAGAGATGACCAAGGCATCCCCCAAAGGATCAAGGCACAGAGGAAGGGGGACCTCGCTCCACACGGGAGCCTGGCTTCTCTGTAGGTCATGGCGTGGCTCTGGGGGGGCTGCTGGCGACACCTGCCTGTGGCACCAGTCGGCTTAGCCGTGGGCCCTTGGGCAGGAGTCCTGAGGACATGGCCAGGACCAGGCTCTCGTGTGGCAGTGCTGGGCGGGGGTGATGCGGCATTTTCAGTACAGCCACCCAGAGGCTGCCCACCTGACGGTGGAGAGGGCAGGTACGGGCACTTACACCACAGGCATCGGTGGAGGCCTCCGCCCCAGGTCTAGTCAAAAGAACCACACGTTTGCACTGGGGCACGCAGCTTCGAAGGGGACCTCCGCCACCGGCTTACCTCTCTCCTGACTGCCAGATACAGCAAAGCCTGGCTTATCCAGAGAACAGCTGGGGTCTTCTGATCAAACTACCCAATGGATAACAGATTCTGAACGAATAAAAAAAAAGCGTCTCAAGTTAAATTTGTCATTTAGGATTCAGAAGGCACTTCAAAATTCCGGAGAGCCACAGGGTCACTGCTATTAGGTCACCAATCCTCCTGTACAGGACCGATGGAGAAGCTCTTAAGAGACAGGGCTACATTTTTGGCCTGATGGTGTCCTGGACATCTTAAATAAACCACAGATATTATATCAGCTAGTTTGTCTCAATTACCTCGCAGAGTCAAGCGTGCAGCACACACAGTATATTTGCATTTTGAGTACATGGGGATTTTGCTGTATCATGGCAGTTTTATAAAATAGTCTCACAAGTCTGGTATTTGACTCTTAAGTAAAATTCAAGAATTATAATTGTACATTTAGGAGGTCACAACGTGAGAAGTACTCACTGAGTACAATATATCGTCTTTATAATCTAATCACCCTGCCAGTCTGTGCTCGCTGTCCAGGTAGAAGCATGAAAGCCAATGGTGCTCACCCACGACACGTGCCAGCATTTAAAGCCTCTACCACATGGAGGAACCAAGGCTCTCCTACCAGCAGCCGAGAACCCTAAGCGCTTCCTGTCAGACAAGCCAAGGACCTGCCGGGGCTGCCCTGAAGGCAGCCCGAGCAATGCAAGTGCCCCGGGTCTCCCCTCTGCTCGCGCCCCGTCCAGGTGACAGCTTACCTTGAACGCGTGCACACACAGGCCAGGGCGCAGCTGCTTCAGTCACACTTTTGCTGGGGGAGAGCTAAAATCAGAAACCTGTCACCAACGGGCCCGGTCTGGGGTACTCTGAGGTAGTTCCTTAACTCGGGATGCCTGTCACCTACTCTCTCCCAGAATTCAGCACGCGTAGGAAGTCCTAAAACATCTATGCACCGCTGCAATCACAAGTCACTGTAGTTGAGTGCAAAATAAAGGAAACTTGAGTTGCTTTATTTACTTCCAATTTCTGGGAGGCTCGAGAATTATAATTATTCTGGACAACAAAAGGAAATAAGACTGTGCTTACAGATCTTTTTCTGCCGTATTCTTTCTGTAGGATTGCTGTTTTATTGTTGCCCTTTTCTGTTACATGGGGTGTACACATCAGGTGGTAAAAGGTACAATACATTCTACAACTGAGCACCACTTTCTGTAACTGAACAGGCAAAGGAATTACACTGAACATCAGCATCTGGCAGTATTTTTCGGAAAAAAAAAAGTGACTAAAATGGGTTTAAATTGATTAACACTATTAAATCACATCTAATATCTGATACTACATGATTCAATACAGCTATACGATACAATTATACAAAATGTGTTAACATCAAAGAATACAACCAAAATTAAGATAGCAAACAAAACCTATATAACTTTTTTTTTTTACAGGAAAATACTTTTGAAGTATGCATGTAACTGCCCATTCTTTTAAAGAAAATCTACTGCAAGCAAAGTTATCAACCTCCAGAAAAATCACACATAGCATTACTAAGCATATCCCCAAAAAGTGTACAATATGCACACTTGGAAAATACAAAATTAAAAAAATTGTAAGCAACAGGTGAGCTTCATATTTATAAGAATGTGAAAAGAAGTCCCATTTTTAGCACTGTTGTATAAAGAATTGTCTTTTGATGCGAAGTTCATGAATTGTCCTCCTGTTGGGACCACACTTTACAAAAACACCGTGTTTTTGAAACGAGATTACAGAGCAAGATAGAGCATCTTAGCAATGTCATCTTATTAAAGTTTTTTTTTTTTTTAATTTTTACTACTTTATCAAAACATGTCCCTTAGGTGTGTAGGATTCATTTTTAAAATTCTTTCCTAGAAACAATATACAAAGGAGAGGCATATTTATTCCCAATCACACTCCTGGAAGATGCTCCCCGGGGTCGAGAAGGGTCTTCTCCGTCATCTTCTCACTGGTTGTTTTTGGCCTTAGCGTGTGTTAAGATGTGAGATTTCAGGTTAGTTGACTGAGCAAACTTCTTATTACAGCCATCGAAGGGGCACACATAGGGCCTGTCTCCGGTATGGATTCGCACGTGTGTGCGCAAATTGAAGTCCAGTGAAAAGCGTTTCCCGCAGCCTTCGAATGTGCACTGTCGGGGAAAGACCAGAGATAACCCAACTCAGCGACCTGTGACCGTGATCAAGAGAGTGGGCAGCGCACAGCCGTGCCTAAGAACAGCCTGCCTCCCTCACCAGGTGCCTTGTCCCCCCCCCCCCCCATCCTCCTCCCAGCACCGGGGAATGTGCCAGTCCCATTGCAGGCCAAGCGGAAGGGACAGCTTCTGAAACCCAGGCACAGACCTCGTGAATTATTTAAATATCAGGGAAGAGAGACACTTGGCGAAATACCAAGAATCTTCCTCGGGATCATGTGAAGGTCTTCGTACTTGTGTGTAAATGTTTCAAATAATAAAATACAAATGATTAGGAAGGTTTCTGGTGTCAGGTAAAAAGAACCATGTTACATTCAGAGCTGCACTGCTAGTTCGTTCACTTGTTCTGGGTTTCTTAAAAACAAGACAAAACATCACCGATACTTATTCTCATATGATAACATTTTAGAAGCTGTCAATTGGTAATTCAATATGCTTACAGCAACTACAGAAAAAAATTGCTTCAGTCCCACAGTGAACGCACTAGAAATGCAGTTTCAGGCTTGCTCTTTCTTGAGCAATCCACCCCCATCAACACCCCGATACACCGTACGCCCGTCTCCACTACTGGAGAGACTGCACACGAGAGAGACAGAACCCAGGGAGCACCGAGAGCCCGAGTCTCAGTCTCTGGGCTGTGTCTCTCTAGCGCCCAGAGCCCCGCCTACACTTGCCGGGTAGTGCAGAGGAGGAAGGGACCGGATCTACCTGAAAGGGTTTCTCTCCAGTATGAACCAGTTGGTGTCGTTTTAGTTTTGAGCTCTCAACAAAAGCTTTGCCACACTCTGCACAGACGTGGACTCGGGGGCCGTGGGTGTGCAGGTGCTTTCGCATGGCAGAGTTATCCCTGAACATCTTTGTGCAGCCCTTCAAACAGAGAGAGAAGCTTAGTGGTTCACGCTGCAAACTGTTACAAAGGGTTCAACCACTTAAAAACAGCCTTCACTGACCCAAGAACTCCCCCACCCAACCTCCCAACCTCCCCATTTACTGTTTACTCAGTATCATAGCAGAGATATTTAATTACTTAAGACAAAAACCGGATAAGCTGGAAAAGGCCTTCTCATTTAATGCAAACCCTGTGTTACAGATCAGGAAACTGAGGCTCAGAGATGTCTTTAAGTAGACTTGCCCAAGGTCACATTGCTTATAGGAGCCGAGCTGGGGGTAGAACCCAGCAGCCTGGCGTCCAGCCACACCACAGCTGCCTCACCCAACTCTGACCCCCAGATGAAGTAACGGAAGCCCTGGTAAACAAATGGGGTTGAAATGACAGCAGTCCACCACTACCTTTGGTGGGCCCCACATTCTGTGCTGCAAGAATGGGCTGTCACTCTCCATCGCCTACTGTTCCCTCTTCTCTCTTTGCCTCTTTCCCCTTCTTGACAGAGAAAGAAGCAAGAGGGTCTCCAAGGAATGGCAACTACAGAAGAAATTGATTTTGTGAGACACCGGGAAAAGCAGCAGGCACACGGACATCGGAGCGGGGAGGGGGGGGCAGATGGGTGTGTGGTGCTCAGGACAAGCATGGCCTTCACAATTTCTTCTGCAGTTGCTGTCCAGGGATGGAGTGGGTGGGGGATGAGCGGACAGCACAACAGGAGGACAGCTTCACAGGCATGAGGCGGGGGGAGCCACAGCTTTGGCACCCTGGCCCCCAGGGCTGTGCTTCCATTCAGCAAATGTAATTTTTAAAAAATGGAATTTGGAAAAGTACACAGAGAAGCTAGAGGGATGACAGGCACTCAGGGCCTAACTGTTTTCAAATGCTTCTTACTGTGCGTGCTGCCCCCCTCAAGGAACTAGTTTTACATTTCAAAGTCTCCACATTAAACGTGGTGAAAAAGCACCGAAAGAACCCGTGAGTGATCACTAGAAGGAAATCGCCCACTGAGACTCATCCTTCTTCAATTACTGATTTTTTAAAAATTCTTTATCCCATTAAAACTTTCTTCCCCTTTTCTTTTTCTTCACCTATGTGATGCTTCTTTTTCTGTTAGTTTTTCATCCATCCAATCAAGTGTGAGACAGACCCAACCCACACCTCAAAGTCACTTCTTAGGCGATCCTTTTATTTGGAAGGCTAATCACATTTGAAAACAATTAAGCACCCCTCTGGTAACACACAGTTCACAGGGCAAATTAAGAAAATTGTGAAGGAAATGTAGCTTTATTAGGCTTACTTTAGCAACATCCAAAATAATTTCCAAATTTCCATGAGTTTACAGTCTCACAAAGGTCCATGGGTGAGACACAACCCAATGTCCTAAGACTTATTAATAATCCAAAAAGAATAAAATCCTAACATCATATATTCAATATATAGTAAGAACAAAAACACTGGCAACCTACAGTAACCCCATTTAATAGTATTTAAGTGGCCTTCACTGAACAAAACTTACATCACAAATACCGCTCTTGAATTTAGAAACCAAAAATTATAGTTCCTCAATTAATAGATGGAAATTAAAGTGCAGATTGCTTATGAGCTCTCTAAATCTTCATTGGCAAGTTAATGAACACTTTTCCCCTAGCATTACTTACTTTATGAGGGCAAGCTATTGTTCTTGGAGCATCATCTTCTTTAATTTTTCTTGGCTTCATTCTTACCAAAAAGAAAAAAAAAAAAAAAAAAAAAAAGAAGAGAGAGAGAGAGAGATTTGTAGGAGTGGGTAGACTCATCTGGCATAAATCATATAGTCCCCTAAAATGTTTTCCTTATAGATACAAACAACTAGGATTACAGAATGCATCCAGGAGGGAAGGGCTGTGACCACCACATTCACTGAGAACCCGGGACTGGGAAGCGTCCTTCCCGTTTCACAGATGTGGGTGCTGGTGCTCACAAAGCCTCACAAAGGCTGAGCTGCTGCCATGGATGGTCTCACAGCGAGCGAGCTGGGGCAACTCAGACCAGCAACGAGGTCTGTGTGCCTCAAATATCAGCTCTTTCCTCCAAGCTCTTTAAATAACGCAAGACCACCAGCCCAAAACACAGAAGAATCTCCTAGTGGGAGCTACGCAAGGTATCCAAGAGCAGCTGCTGTGGTAACAAAGACACCTTGTGAAAAGGGAGATGGGGGTGGGGGTGGGGGGTAGGAGTCGGGGGGACTTAAACACAGATCCCTACAAAACTGCTTAGAAAAAAGGAGGGAGGGTTCATTTCATACTGACAGACATTATCTTTAGGAGAGATAATTTTTTGAAAAGGGTACAGAATAGTCCTTGTAAACAGAAAATCCTTCATATACATTATCTCTGGAAAGAAACATAGTACATGAACTTGGTATTGGTGTTTTGGGGGAGGAGCCTCTAAGGACTGGTGGACAGGTGGAACACCCCATACTCTTTTCCACTGTTGAATTTTATCATACTACTACTTTTGGTGGCAGTGGTGGGAGGGAGATTACAGTTTTTTCAAAAAATAGGTTGTTGTTGTTTTAAATAAAAAACGACCGATCTCTGGCCCTGTGCAGACTCACTGCCCAGAGAGCTTATTGATTTGGTAGCTTACCTACCTGCTATTTCCACTGAACCAACCTTTGGTCTTTTGTCAAAACTTTCTCTCCAAATACTCCCTACAGATCTGTGTGTGGTAGAGGGGTGAGAGATTAAGAGTTCCTAGAGAGACTAGAAAAAAAGATTTACATCTCCGAGACAGACGTTCCTTCTGTCCCGCCGTTTGCTACCTCACTGTCCTAGGTGAGGATGCACAGTTAACAAACAAGCAACGAGGTCAGCGATGTCTTACCAGTAAGAGCTAACTTACCAGCACTCTCTCATCACAAAAGATTTCTGCGGTCATCTTTAAGTTAGCAAAGGCCCTGGCAAAGGTCCTTCTTCACCCTTGATCTGGGAAAGGCATGCCCTGAAGTTTGTTTTATAAAACCTCAACTGGCGAAGTCACCTAGTTAAACTCTCCATCCCTGGAGGAGCACTGGTGAAATAACTTATCTGGCGGCTGGAACCGACTTCTCGGGAGTCTGTTCAAGACTGTGTGAATTTCCTACGTTAAATTCTGAGAACATTTCCAGCTTGGTATCCACCCCCATTCCAACCCTGTAGATACTCGCTGGCTCTTGTACTTGAGGGATTACCCCATCAGCTAGCAAATATTTTCTAAATGTTTGCTGGGTACAGGGCTCTGAACTAGCTAGCCTGTTATCTTAGGTACCATTAATCCCTGGAGCTGGAAGTCTGAGCTCAAAGAACTTCAGAGGACAAAAAATTGGTACCACTGCACCACCTGCAGGTTAGATCAGAGTTTGGAAAACAACAGCAGTCCACAAGAACGAGTTCTACTCCAATCAATCAAGTATTAATAATAATAATTTAAAAAAGGGGGTCTATTAAGAACCAGGCTTCAGTCTTCCCAATGGATAATGTTTACTGTTTGATGATTACACCGAAATGCTCTGTATGTCTCAACTGTGGACATGGCTACGTGATTGTGTCTGTCCAAATTTGCAAGAGTGGTATGCCCCTGAAAGGGGGTTAATTTTATTGTGTACAAATTATGTTAATAAACTCACTCTTAAAAATGTCCACTGGGTTTACAGGTTAGTCACACAGACAACCATCTCCTGTCCCCACCCATCTGGGTTTCCAATGTGGGGGATCAATGTCAGTGAGGTACCTGCATCAGTAGGACAGGTGTGCCCATCCCACCACCCTACCATTTTCTCAAATTTATTCACAGGAACATGATTTTTAAAAATGTTTTATCACAGCAACTTTCAAATATACTCTAAATGAAAGGGCATAGTCCCATGTACCATTTACCAAACTCTCGATTTCTTAACTGTTATCATTAAGCGGTATTTTTTCTTAAAATGTCATGTGCAAAATGTGTGCCAGCATGTAGTAATATAATTGATTTTAGAATGAAAACTTAAAATGTATTTGGACAAACACCCTTGGATGCAAGAAGGAAGTGAAAGGTTTAATTGCAGCCACTCTTAAGCTCCTTGGCAAATCCTCCTTCTTCACCAGAGTGGCAAATGAGGCGGTGTACGTTGGTGCCTTTTCTATTTTATTTGAAGGTGCAAACACTGAAAAGGTCATTTTCCAAAAACTAGATTGAAAGTGGGGAGTTTTTTTGTGAGTAAAGACTAAAATTAAATCTTCATGGCACCAACTGATATATAACCTACAAAATAAAGAAAAGCATTTGAAATCCTAAAAAAAAATTTTTTTAAGAAGACTCAAATCATACACTGCTACTTGGTATATCTCTTCAACCTGCCCAAACCATTCACGATGTCCAAGATTTGAGTTTTTCCTCGACTAGGATATTTTACAAAGGGTGCCACCAACAGTGGGCAGAGGCGCTGCTGGATCCCTCTGGGGGCCCCAGGGGTGGGCCTGGCACAGACTTCTACCAGCTGCATGACCTTGAGCAAATCACTTAATTTCTCAGCCTCAGTTTCTCACTCTGTAAAAAGGTAGAAGGCTACTATGCGCTTTATAGCTGCGAAGACTAAAAGAGAATGTACCTGAAGCTCTTGGGGAATGACAGTTATTCTCATCATCCCTGGCTGTGTGTTAAATGGGCCTACCTAAAAATGAGTTCATTCCTTGGAGGGGGAAAAAAAAAAAAAAAAAAAAAGGCCAGTCATACTTAACAACCCAGAAGGTTCTGATGCTCTGAGCCACTGTTTTCAACTAAAGGGCTGCAGGACTGTTGAGAAACAGCTCAAGTCAGTAGGAAGGTACCTTTGATAGATTATACATTACATGGAGGAGCCAGGTACCCAACAAGAGAAGCTTCCTGTTCAATGAGAATAGAGAGCATGCCCCGAGCAGCGTGGACACTGGTTCTACCCCCAGCTTACTCTGCCAATGTGGTGGGAGCCAGGACCAAAAAATTGCAGGAATCTCCTGGCACTGCTTCCAGCAGGGCGAAACCTGAGTTCTAAGTTAAAGCTCAATGTCCCAGATACGAAGAGGAAACATTTTTGAGGCAGAGTATTGAATGAAGATAAGCCTGTTCACAGTAAAATAAGCTCAGCTGCCTTCAGCCTGGAACCCCACCCTGGGGCCTGCGCTCCTGGGGCAGAGGCTCTGGTGGAAGGCCACTACCATCTGCAACCGAACTCACCTCCCTTCTTGGTGCAAGGAGTGGTGCCTCCATCAAATGAGGCCAAGTTCGCTAGATAGAGTATCTCCTATGCAGATAGTACATCTTCACCTGTTTTCACCTGACGGTACTTCTGGCTCTGCTACCACATCTCATCTTTACACTAATCCTGCAGGGAAAGTCTTGGGCTGGGTGGTGGCCAACAATGAAAATAACTGGAGACCAACCTAACCACTCCGAATTCTGAGCTTTCTAAACCAAAATTTCCTAGAGGGCTAACTGTAGTTAATGAAAAAGGGCACAACGGCTGCTAATTTAATCAGGAACTAGAGTTTGCCAGATCCCACCCACTGACCACTTTTTGAAGTATTTAAAAAAAGAACAAAGTCACCTCCCCCATTCTAGGGCTTTCAAACGAAAGCCCTCATTTCTTATACCTGCCCCACCCCCACCCCCATGTAACTGATTTACTTACTACCAACCGATTTTCTAGGCCTGATGTGACAGGAACCTGAACCATTCTCTGGTCAGTTCCAGGTCCAGTGTGGAACCCCATCACCCAGCACACAGAGGAAAGGGAAAAAGCAGCTAACAAGCTACCTTGAGCCAAGAGCTGAGTCAAGGTGGATAAAGAGTGGAAGCCAGCAGAACAAGTTCTATGGGTCTTTACAAGAGAAGAAGACGGTGTCTGCACCCCAACAGTTTGAAACTTGGTGCCGCTTTGGCTTTCAGAGTCCCAGGCACCAAGGCCTGGGGCCCCTGGAAAATCCTATTCAGTGGTTGGTTAAACACATTCTCAAAACCTGAGGACCTGACAAAATAGGGCATTCCAGGCTCCGATATCTCTCACCACCGCCACTGTCCAGTTAAGAGACTTGTTTTACAGGATCTAGTCCATGATACTAAGGACAACGGGGATGAGCCCAACCCTCTCCCCTCATTTTATATACACTGTTAGGATGAGCGAGACAAAATGAAATCTTTAACAGGTTCATTAGAAAAGAAACACACACTGTATTCAGATGATTATGTAAATATACTGGCTACTGTAGAATCTAACTGTGTTGCTAGGATCACATTTCTTGCTCTACGAGTCCAACACAGTAGCTTTAGGATCAAGGAGAGACTTATAGAGTCAGGCCAAACAAGTTCTCTGCACTTCAAAAATCATCAAAATTTTATACCCACTTTTAGGCCACGGCTTTCTGAGCACCGCCTCGCTCTTCAGGGGGTTTCTGATTATCTTTTCCTTTTTAGAGAACTCTCTCCCATAGCACCAAGACCTTCTGGCTTCTTACTTATTCTATGCACTGCTGACCAAACTCGACTTTTCCTCAAGAAAGCCCTACAACTCACCAACTTTCTGTTCTAAACTGAACGCTGTTTCTAGCTGCCTCACAGCTGCCCTCCTGATTTTCTGTTCCCCAGACTCTTTAGGAAGGCTTCCTCTTGATGTGTGTCCTCGTTTTCCTGGAGCATATCGTCAGGTAACCCCCTCAGAAAGGGTGCATGCAACACAGAACAAATCCTTAGTGTCTACAATGGCCGCCTTTTTGCCCTGTATTTGACTGACAGCTTTGCTGAATCAAGAATTCTGTTTATAGTAACTTTTCCTCCCAAATCTCAAAAAGTGGTTCCACAGTCTTCTAATTATCTATTGCTGGTGAAGAAAAGTCTCATTCAGACCTAGTAGGGTTGAAGGCAGCCCTGAGGCAGATGCAAGGCCACGTGGGAAGCAAGCAGAAGCTTCTATTCTGCAACAGCAACACGTGCTTCCCGAATGCGGGGCTGAAACCTCAGATTTTCTCTTCAGGAAACCAGGGACAAACTTTCAGATCAACTGCCCCAATTCAGCAGTGAGGGTGAACAAAGCCAAGGGTCACCGACACCTCATCACTGCTGCTCAGTACCCCTAGGTTCATGCTCTCTGTAAAACCCTGTCACAGCCCTCTGTCCCTCCACTGAAATCATCCATCACTCTGCAAGTAGAATTCAAAGAAACGTTACTCTCCTCCCTCTCTCTCGGACCTCCTGACCACTCCCTGGGCCTTCCTGAGCTGCTGGGTCCATCTGAATGAGCCCTCTACCCTGTTGCTGGTTCCCTTGTGCTCCGATCACAGGGTTTTCCCAAGACTGTCTTCTCCACAATTGCCCTCTCACAGCGCAGACGTCCGTGCCACTTTCAGCCTTTGTCACTGCCCATCAGATGAGTCTAGCCCTGGCTTCCTTCCTAAAACCACCTCAAGTCCAACACAGATGATTTATTAGCATCTAAAACCAGACATACCCACCCTAAACCCCAAACTAGCACCCTCTCCCAACCCCTTGCCACCTGAGGTACAAAATGTTGAACATCCATTCTGATTCCTCCTTCCCAGAGACACACACACAATCTTTTTTCAGTCTTTCCACCAACTCCTGCCACCCAGTCACATTTATTCTTTCACTACAGTCTGGCCCCTGCAATCCTGGCTCAGGCCCTGGTGACCTCTCCCACTTCCTGGCGGTACCTGCGCCGGCCCAGCCTGGGGACAGCAGACATGTCAAGTCCATCTTTGATCACAGAGCCCCTTCTCTACTGCTCACACACCTCTGCAGCTGTCCGCTGCACACTACAAACATCCAGAAATGTGGGTCCAGTATTCATAGGATTCAATGATCTCCTACACTCCAACTGTCTCCCTGTGAGCAACTGAATTCCGAGCCAAACCCACTTATTCTTTTCTAGGCATATGTCATATGGGGATTGAGTATGTACCTTTCCACTGTGCTCATGCCACACTAGCATTAGCCCCACCATGGAAACCCCACCTGCCCCCCAAGTCTCAGTGTTTTTCAAGGCTCGAGTCAGATGCCACCCTCTCTATAAGGCTTTCCTTGACTCCTGCATTCTGTATCTCTACCCCTGGGGACAATAGCCCCTATCCTTGCTAATTCCAAGCATGATAACAAGAGATTACTACTTTAAACACATACGATAATGCTAAACACTGGCATGCAACTGGACTCAAATCTGCCCCCAAACTCTAACCTCAATGCTGACTATGTATCTACAGATTCCATTTTTATTTGTATTTTGGGGGAGAGGTATGCTGTGAGGACTGAGTAGCATACCTCTTTAAAATAAGAAAGGCAACAAAAGCTGGGACTCATGTCATTAACAAAAGGACAGAAGCCTTAACTTTTTTTGTTCAGTTGTGATCAATTAGAATGTAAAGTCACGTATACCTTCCCTATGGCTGCAGCTTCACGGGACCGGAGATTAGGACACAAACCCCTTTACTACAACAAATCTGACTCTAACGCCCATCTGATATGTGGGGGAAACCAGGCTCCCAATGGCAGGTCATCACCCACCTCGTTTTAGCAGGGCTGGGAGAAACCAAGACACTTCAGGGTCTCCAGCTCTTATCCACTCCACTCTGCTCTCAAGAGAAAAACAGATGAGGAACCCACTCTGTCCCTAGATGGTGTGGGATCACAAGGCTGTCTCTCTTCCTCATCCTGCCCTTGCCTAAATTTCCTGGCCAGTCCAGGCTCCATTCAACCTCAGGGTGGGAAAAGAAGTCATCGGTCTTCCTGCTCCAGAGTTTTTTTTTTTTTTTTTCCTGCTCCAGAGTTTATTAGTTCTTTTCATCTTATTAAAAATGGTCTTTGAGTGTGTTCTCACGTCTTCATAAAAACTGTCCAATGGTGCCGGGAAATAAATACCACAAAAGGGGCATAGGCTTCTGCAGGAGCCCAGCCTGCTTTGGGCAAAAAAACAAGCCTCCAGGGGGTCCAGATCTTCCTGGCTGCTCACCTTGGCCGGTCACAGGGGTCCCTATCATGAATTTTTTATCTCTTTCTATCATGCCCGCTTAAATTAACAAAATCCCAGGAGCTTAACTGATAACACACTGAAATATGAACCGATGACTCCTTCCCAGGGTTCAGCTGGGCCTGTCCAGCACCGACCCAGCCCTTGCAGCGTGCTCCAGCACAACACCCTCCAACTTACAACGTCTATAGAGAGGCCAGGAGCTGGTGTAAAGAGGCCCTGTTTCCAAACAAAGTCTTTTTGATTTTATTCATTCACAAGCAGTATCAATTACGGAATTAAGAGGTTATTTGCTTCGTCTCACTGTCTACAGGATCTAAAATGGTGCCATGCACATTAACAGCAAAGTTACCACTAAAAACAAAACGAACTGCTTTTGTTTCCATAGGTTTCCCTGGAGCAAGACTATGAACCAACCACCACTGTAACTTAGACACAAAGAACGCAGCTGCTGACTCTCCAGTACTTTATGTAATTAGAAAGAAAGGAAAGTTCTTAGGGCTTACCTAGCAAATTCTGCCAGTTGTTTGGGGTCTGAGAGGTCAATGCCAGGTATCCCTCCAGGAGGAAGCTTCTTCCCTGTCATGTACTCTGAATAATCAGGAGGGGAGTTCTCTCCAATGATCTGCTCTTCAACCACTGTCTCATGGTCAATATCTTTTTTTTCATCTGAAACACACCATAAGATTAATTATTTTAGTGGAGTAAAACCATGTATGTGGGGAGATAAAGAACTACGAAATGTAATGTGCTTTCATTAGCAGCTTCTGGAATGGGTGATTTATAGCCACTAGCCCTATTTCTTAATTACTCAGTCTTTCTCCTCAATCTCCTGAAATCCTGTTTCTGCTTGAAGGTCACCAAAATCTGCAATGTCAAGCCCAACGGACCTTTGTGCAAGTGCTTCTTCTTAGCCCATCAGGAAGGTTCCCCATTCCTGACTCTGCATTCACTTGCCTGGTTCTGCTCCCACTTCTCAAACTGGCTTCTTGTCAAACTTCCTTGCTTCTCCTCCCACCACTTCTCAGAGTTCTACTTTCTGTCCACCCTACACATTTCCTGTTAACCAGCAACGTGGCAATGCTGACTTGAGTCTGATGCCCCAGCCCTCACCCTGTAGCTGGTCTCCTGCCTCCCCCTCCAGCCCCTCATTCTCGCTGTTATCCCTCACTCCTTGCTCCCATGATGGCTTTTCAGTTCCTCACGAATACTGTCAGCCCTTCACCCTAACCCCATGGCTCATACCCAGACACTTTATAATTACAGCAGTTTGTAACTATAGTCAGCCTCTCCCACTAGATGGTAAAAGCCACGAGGATAGGGATCCTTGTCAGATTTGATCCCCAGGTAACCCCAGAGCCTGATTCAGTCTACAGAGTTGGCCTTCAATAAATACGTGTTCACAGAATGTAGGACATCTTTACTTGTCAGTCTTACTATTGTTACAAACCCTTGAGGGTTTTAAAAAAAAAAAAAAAAAGGAATACTGACCCCCATAATTAATCTCCTACATCCCAAACACCAAATCTTATTGATTTTTAACGATTTTTTAATTTTTTTTTTTTTATTTTATGATAGTCACAGAGAGAGAAAGAGAGGCAGAGACACAGGCAGAGGGAGAAGCAGGCTCCATGCACCGGGAGCCCGATATGGGATTCGATCCCGGGTCTCCAGGATCGCGCCCTGGGCCAAAGGCAGGCGCCAAACCGCTGCGCCACCCAGGGATCCCTCCTATTGATTTTTAAAAGGTCTTCTCCCTTTGTTCCACTGCCACCAAGTTAGTTCTTATTATCTCAAACCTCAACGACTATTGTAATTTCTTAATTTATCTTCCCAATTCCATTCTCTGCTGTAATGATGCTATAAAGGATCAACTGATACAGAAAATGCAGCCGATATATTTTCACCTGGTTTGAACCCTTCAGAGGTACAAATTATACTTCAACTTGGCATCCTGGGTCCCTTGCTGCCTGGTCCCAGTTTACACAGCTAGTGGGACCTTCCGTTTCTCCTAGGCACATGCCCTAGCTACTGCAACCAGGCTGTGTTCTTCCCAGGTTAACTCACAAACATCTGGCAGGAGAGATTCTTCAACAGCTTGTTGATTCTACTGCTCTAGCCTCAGATTCCTACCTTTTCCTTAAACTCCTACATTATTTCTTGATAACAATGCTGACAAACTCTAAATCATGCTGTTTTGATTTTTTTTTTGTTGGTTTTGTCTCTGACACTAGGGTGAAGTACAGAGGCCCAACTGGTTGGTCTTCAACCCCTTTGGTGCTGAAAGCAGAAAAATAAAGATGCTCCAAAGTTTTCCATGCTCACTGAAATGTTCTATTTCTCCATCAAAATGTTTCACAAAGAACAATAACAATAGCTTTCTGAATTGAAAACTAGCTTGTTCAAGTCTTACCTTTCCACCAGTGTTACAAAAATAAAATGAAAAGCGGTGTCTAGGTGGCTCAGTAAGTTTTAAGTGTCCAACTCTTGATTTTGCCTCAGGTCATGATCTAAGGGTCGTGAGATCGGGCCCTACATTGGTGTAGGGTTGTGTGCTGAGCATGGAGTCAGACTCTCTCTTCCTCTGACCAGCCCTCCCCACGTCCCTCTGCGTACCCTCTCTCTAAAGTAAAATCTTAAAAACAAAAATCCCACAAAACCAAAACCCAAACAAACCATACCCTCTAAGTGACATCACTCACTATCAAAAAACTATGCCTAGGGATCCCTGGGTGGTGCAGCGGTTTGGCGCCTGCCTTTGGCCCAGGGTGCGATCCTGGAGACCCGGGATCGAATCCCACATCGGGCTCCCGGTGCATGGAGCCTGCTTCTCCCTCTGCCTGTGTCTCTGCCTCTCTCTTTGCTCTCTCTGAATGAATAAATAAATAAATCTTAAAAAAAAAAAAAAAACTATGCCTAGCTGTTTATCACCAGGATCTCTGACATCAGGGTATGAGGACAAAATAAAGACAATGTAGGGGGCACCTGGGTGGTACAGTCAGGTCAGCCTCCCACTAGTTCAGGTCATGATCTTGGAGTTGTGAAATGCGAGTCCGTGTTGGGCTCTGTACTCAGTACAGAGTGTGCTTGTGTTTCTCTCCCTCTGCCCCTCCCAAGTAAATAAATAAATCTTTAAGATTTTATTTATTCATGAGACACACACACACAGGCAGAGGGAGAAGCAGGCTCCATGCAGGGAGCCTGATGTGGGGACTGGATCCCGGCACTCCAGAATCATGCCCTGGGCCGAAGGCAGGCGCTAAACCGCTGGCTGAGCCACTCAGGTGTCCCAAATCTTTTTTTTTTTTAAGGTAGAATGTAGGTTCACCTGATTGAAGTGGTCATTATCATGTTCAATCAACCACTCCCAATGATAAAAGCACAGAACAGGATACTCTTAAATGTCTCTCTTCTCCTACCACTCTTCATTTTATTATTTTTTAAAATGATTTTATTTTATTAGTTTATTTTTTCATGGGGGGGGGGCACAGACACAGGCAGAGGGAGAAGCAGGCTCCATGCAGGGAGCCAGATGTGGGACTCGATCCTGGCCTGGGCTGAAAGCAGGCACCAAACCGCTGAGCCACCCAAGGATCCCCAAAAGATTTTATTTTTAACTCATCTTACACTGAATGGGGGCTCAAACTCACAACCCTGAGATCAAGAGTCACATGCCCCAGCGACTGAGCCAGCTGGACTGGACTCCCCTACCATTCTTCATTTTAGAAAACATTATAGGTCACTGCCAGGAAGAGAATAGCAGCATTTCACCGAATGTTTACTGTGAGGGCACTATTTTCATTACTGCGCATATCGCCGTAGAGCTGGGCAAATTAGCAAGTTCACTCTTCACAGGAGAAAGCTGAGGCCCAGAGAGATCTGTAACTTGCTCAGGGCTAACTAGTCAGTAAAGGGTAGATGTGAATGCAGGAAGCCCTGATCTCGGACCCGGGTTCTTTACTGTTAAGCCCATTGCCTCTAGTTTGGAACTAGAAGGATCTCAACAACATGTCCTGGGTAACCTCTTTACAGACGAAGATGAAGATCATAGTGAGATGCACTAATGAAGGACAAGAAATGTGGTTAATGATCATAAGTTAGAAAGCTGGGACTCTGCACTGTAATCTGATTATTTTCTTAGGGCTGTGAGAATTCCTTCACCCTCCAATCTCCCAAATGAGGAACAACCACATGGACTTTCAGGGGCTACAGAAATACACAGGGAGGGAAGCTAATTTTCCTCACTTGACGTTTTGTACTTCTAACACAAGAATGCTAGCAAGGCTGAGGATCGCTGCTGCTCTGAGGAAGCTACTACGGATGAGGAGAGCTGCATCTCAAGTGTGCTACGGCAGAAAGATGGCTCAACTTCAGGCTTACGGAACCACTGGCTAAATCATTCCTTGCACAGTTCAACACATAGAAACTGAGGGTCTCCTGTGTATGCCTGGCACTGTTCCAAGACACCAAGAACAAAACAAAGTCTCTGCCCTCAGGAACTTGCTTGTCAACAGAACCTTCTTGGTGTGCCCTCACATGGCAGAGACATGCCTCATCATTTCTGTGTCTCTTCTTTATATGTAAAGAGCACTAATCCCACTAGAAGGACTCCACCCTCATAACCTAATTACTTTCCAAAGGCCCCACTTCCAAATACCATCATTTTGGGGATGGGGACTTTAACTTATAAATTTGGGGGGAGGACACAAACAAGTCAAATGAGGAAATGCTTCCTGAGGCTTGAGACTCAGTTCTTTGTTCCAACATTCGACAAAACCAAGCACCCAGAGAATAGTCCCTATCATCTCAGAACTACATGTATGGAGTCTAAGTAGAGACTGACAAGTTTCAGGGTCTGCAAGTACAGCCCATGAGCTGGACTCAGCCCCAACATTTTTCATTTTTCACAGTTCCTTTTCTGTTATTTTTTTATTGAGAGAATAAATCTGTGTCTGGCTGATTTCACTAAGCATAATGTTTCCAAGGCCCACCCATGTTGTAGCATGTACAAAATTTCATTCTTTTTCACAGCTGAATAATGTTCCTTTATGGACAGACATATCACATTTTGTTTGTCCACTCATCTACTGACAGACACAGGAGTTGTTCCCATCTTTTGGCTACTGTGAATATAATGCTGCTATGGACGATGCTGTGCACATATGCCATCTATTTTTATCTTTTAATATTTATTTATATAAGATTTTATTTAGTTAGTTATGAGAGACACAGGCAGAGGGAGAAGCAGGCTCCCCGCAGGGAGCCTGAAGGGGAAGTCAATTCTGGATCCTGGGATCAGGCCCTGAGCCAAAGGCAGACATTCAACTACTGCCCCACCCAGGTGTCCCACCACCTATTTTTTTAAATAAAGTTTTACTGAAACACAGCCATGCTTGTTTATATGTTACTTTCCCGCTACAGTGACACTGGAGTTGATTAGTTGCTTTTGGATAGCCTTAAAACCTAAAACACTACTACTATCTAGCTCTTTATAGAAAAAGCTTACTGACCTTTCATCTACATGATGGGATTTTACCTCAAAAATATGATTAGGGATCCCTGGGTGGCTCAGGAGTTGAGCGTCTGTCTGCCTTTGGCTCCGGGAATGTTCCCACCCGGAGTCCTGGGATGGAGTCCCCCATCAGACTCCCTGAATGGAGCCTGCTTCT